GGCGGGGCGGGGCGGGGTGGGAGGCGGAATCGGCGCGGCTGCGCCAGGGTCGCGGCGCGGAGCTGTAGCGACGAGGCTGGAGAAGCTGCTGCCGCGGTGAGTGAGCGCCGGGGCGCCGAGCAGCGGCTGCGGCTCGCGGATCTGCGGGAGCCGGGCTCGGTCCCCAGGCGCATTTAATGGAGCGGGGGGAGGTCTCGGATGGGGAGGGCCTCGCCCGTCGGTCCCTTCCCTCTGTCACCATCACTATCACCATCCATCACCTCCACCGTCCCTCCGCCAAAGCCTGCCTGCCGCTCGCCCCTGGTTTGGTCCAGGGAGTGTCTCTGGCCCGGGCCGGGGACTGTCAGCTGAAAGCCCTCCAGCGTTCCCCAGAATTACAGGAAATGCGGGAGTAATAGCCCACGCCACGGAGCACTCTGTACCGCCCGGGCACTGGCCCTGAACCTAAGTGGCCTTGGCCCCACTTAATCCTGAAAACAGCACTTCCCACTCAGTGTCGTCTGGAGAGGCCGGCCTGGACCTCCCTGCATTAGATACGCCCCCACTACCCACGCAACTCATATCCTCCTCACGCTACTGTATTTTTCTCCAAATCCCTGACGCCCGGAAATGTGGTCTTCTGGTGTGGCTCCACAAGGGCTGGGACTTTGTTTTGTTCACATGGTCCATAGTCGCACTTGGAAATATTCTCAGGAGAAACAGATAAATGAACAGCCCCAGAAGGTAGTTGCTGGTGCGATGCCCACTTTACAGTTGAGGAAATGGAGGCTAAGTGACTTGCCCAAGGTCACATTAGCCAACTTTGTGGACCCCACAATCCAGGAACTTGATCATGCCCCCCCTGGCTGTGTGGTCCAATCTCCACCCACCCTGTGGCCTAGGGCAGGTGGGCTTGGCAGAGGGGGTGTGTCGAGGTAGAGCGGCTCTTATGTGCAGGCCACAGGCAGTGGAGGGCAGGCAGGTGACCACCAGGCTGTTCCGGCCTCCCCAGACCATCTGGCTTGGAAGGCAGCCAGAGGAAGCAGTTGTTTTGCTGATTGGTTCAGCCCTCAGCACCCAGGTGTTCTGGGCACCTGAATAGGCTGGGACCCAAGAAACTCCAAAGGTGGACACCCTGCTTACCTGAGGGAAGGGAGTCTTAGTAGAAGGGCATGGCCCTGGCCTGGGGAAGAGCCTTAGAGACCCAGGTTTGCTTCCCTGCTCCCCACCTAGGCTGTGTGACCTTGGACAAGTGACTTCACTCCCCTGAGCCACCCTTTGCTGGCCAAAGCCTGAAGGCTGAGTGGTCCCCCAGGATGCTATAAAGGTGGATCCTCCCTGTGGCTCAACTATGGCAGAGTGCAGCAGAGGGCTCTGTTCTTGACCCTTGAGTCAAGTGAGCCCATCCAGTACCCTGTCTTTAAGCAGAGCTGCCTGGAAAACCTCAGAAGAGCAAGAGCCTCAGCCTCATTCCAAACGTGTCCCCTTAGGAAAGTTCTGGGCCTGCCAGCTGTGTAAAACCTCAGAAAAAAAGCTCTGGTCCAAAGAGATAAGTGGGTGTTTATGGCTGGAATGGGCAAGCAGGCCTGTTTCTTCCAGGGCTACGGTGAGCCTGATACCCTGCCTGGTCTGACAGGTCCCAGCCCAGGGCCTGGGGCTGAGATGCGCTGTATTCCTCAAGATCGGGAGGGAAAGTGAGGAAAAGGGAAGAAGGGAGAAACCTCGGGGCATGGGGATGCATCAGGTGCTGGTGGTCGGGGAGGGGCCCTGTAGAGGGCCTGTGGCCTCCCTGCCCCCACCCCGCAGCAGGACCCTGGGGTGTGCCCAAGAAAGCTGCAGCCCTGGATCTGGAGGGAGGAGGCCGGCTGCAGACCTGGACTAGGCTGTCTCGGCGTGTGTGGGCGCGGTGTGTGCACGGGGCTCCCTCCCGTCTTATGCTCCCGCCGCTCAGGCCGCCTCCCCTCCTTCTCTCCTGTCTCTGCTTCCCCGTGGTTGGCTGCCTTTCCCTCGCTCCCTTTCGGCCCGCTGTGCTTTGGTCTTGGCCTCTGCTGTTCCCCACCGCCTGTGGGTGCAGGGTCCCAGCCTAGGATGTGATGGGAGTTAAAACGTGAGCTCACTGGAAGCCCCCTCTCTGTACCTGCAGCAACAACTTTGTGCCAGTTACTCACCTAAGTTTGCTTTATTTAAACAAAAAACAAACAATAGGTAAAGGACATGATGTGTAAAATGACCAGGGTCAAAAAGTGGAGGGGTGTGAGGGCCCAGGAAAGCAGGAGAGAGCGGGTACAGGAGGGAGGAACCAGGGAGGCTTCAGGGGCCCGTGTGGCCTTTGTTTTCTGGCTCTTCCTGTGCTGGCTGGTCCCCAAAGGAGTGGATTGCTGCCGGTGCCCCCGCCCTGGCCTGAGCCCAGGACTGAGGGTCACGGGCAGGCAGAGGCAGGAGCTGTTCTGGGCCCTTGACACTGAGAGTGTCAGTTCTGAAGCACGCACACCGTCCTCCAGGGCATGCCCGGGACACACCCATTTCCTGCCGTCTCCCGCAGGAATCATGGCCCCCAGGTAGGCCTCCCCTTCTGCCTCGCCCTCCCAGATGCCGGTCTCTATGAGGCTTGGCCTGGCGCTCCGAGGGCACTGGGAGTGGCCAGACCTCTCTGTCCTCCCTGCTCCCTCCCGGACAGCAGGCTTTGGGGGTCCCCCATTCCCTGTGAGGTCTGACTTGAGCATCACTCTGGCACCGTGCTGGGTGCCTGCCCCTCCCTGCAGTTCTCATGGACTCCTTACATTATCCCAGGTTTGGGGGTGAGGAATGGAGGCTCAGAGACATGAGGCAGCTTGCCCACAGTCACACAGAATCCGGACCCAAGTCTCTCTGATCCCAAGTGCAGTGACTATGAGTAGCCTGGTGAGACAGAGCCATCCATGACAGATGGAGGTGAGGGTCTAAACTGGCCCCCAGAAAGACTGAGGGACTTTGGGGACCCAGCAGAGGATGTGAGCCTTTCTTTCTCATGATGCTGTTGAGCACCCGCTCTGGTCCTAAGCTCTAATAGGGAGTAAGCGCTCCCCCTGCCCTTGAGGGCTGTCTAGAAAGGGGAGCAGCCTCCTCTCCTTCACTGGTGGGTCAGGGAGGAAGGCCCCAGGAAAGTCCAGAGCCTGGGCTGGGCTGGAAGGGGGACCCCCAGTGCCCTGGCGACAATCGTCCACCTTCCCTTTGTTCCGACTGGCACCAGCACACTGCCTGGCTAGAGCTGGGGCTTCAGGCAGGGGATGGAGTCAGGCCTGCCAAGTGAGCCAGGGGCTTGGGAAGCAGTTCCCCGGCCTCATCAGCTCTGAGTACCCGGCTCTATGGCCAGTCTATGGGCACCCCCAAAGACTACAGAGCGCCTGCCCTGGAATCTGCTGTAGCTCCCCTCTGCCCAAGGGCAGAACCTAAATTCCCTTTGTGTGCTATTAAGGCAGATCCCCGCCTGGCTCCCCCTGATGTTCCATAAGGTCCACCTGAGGCCCCAGAGCTTTCCTTCCTCATGCTTCTGCAGACACACCCCTCCTCTCGGGCAGGGTCTTCCTAGGCTGCCCCCCTTAATCCTGGCACTTTGGTGAACTGTAAGCTGGTTCCATGTCTATAACCCCACCCGGGCCAGAGCGTAGAGGTGGCAGTGTTTGATCCAGGGCGTGGCTGCCACACCTCTTCCTTCCCCCAAACCTCCCTCCTACCGAGATCTTCCCAGCTGCATCACCCAACCTGCATTTCATTTCCTTTCTGCTTTATCACCATCCAGCATATTTCATATCTTAACATGTAGTTTAACGTCTTCCTCCCCAGCAAGAATGTTGGTTATGTGAGGACTGGAGAGAGTTTGTCATTTTGCTCAGGGCTGTGTGTGCCTTGTGCTCAGGACACAGCCTGGCACACAGCAAGCGCTCAATGAGGATCTGTTGCAGGAAGGAGCTCACCTCTCATGGTGAGCTCTCATGTAGCTCGCCCGCCTGGGATTCACCTTCTCACTGGCCTTTGCAGCTTCTGTCCCAGGGAACTTGAAGCTGGGCACACTGGGGACCATGCAGAAGGCTGGGGCCCGGGGCCGGAGGGCCTCTGACTGTGGCCCTGCCCCTCACCGGCCCAGGTGCATCACCAAATTTGCCCAGGTGGGTGAGGCCACCCCATGGATGTGCTCTGGTGGGTGGTTCCTAGGGAGTAGGCAGGAGCTATGGGGGGCACCTATTTCCATGCCCCAGGCTCTGGAATGTGCATGCATGCGCAGATGGGAGCTGGAGTCTCAGGGGAGCTGGGTGGCTTGACCAAGTCACCTGCAGGGAAAGGAGTAGAACCAGGATTCCCGAGTCCAGCGCTCATCTACTTGACAAAGCAGAGTGTGTGTCTGGTGGGGGGGAATTTGGAAGTTGGGGATCAGGAGCCATGGGCCTGACTCCCCTGCCTTCCTCCCACCCCAACCCACCCCCAAGCAGTATGTGGGCTCTTTCCCCGTGGATGACCTGGACACCCAGGAGAGCGTGTGGCTGGTGCAGCAGCAGCTGTGGGCACTGAAGGTAGGGCTGGGGAGCTGGGGAGGGCACAGCTCTGGTGGAGTCCGCAGCCTTGGAAGGTTAGGCTGAGAATGGCCCCTGCAACCATCTGATCCTCCTCACCCCACAGTCACTGAGACAGAGCGTGGGGCTGAGGCCCACATCCAGGCTCCTGGAGCCACGCCCCCTATGCCCAGGGAGCCCCTTCCCCTGGGCGGTCGTGGCCTGTGCTTCTGGGTGGAAACCACAGGTGGGAGATGTTGGGCATGGTCACAACTGCAGCCAGCTATGACCCTTGCTGTGGGGCAGTCTGCAGGAGCCAGCCACGCCTCCCCGGCTCCAGGGCTGGGGTCCACAGTCTAGGGCTCAGCCCCCTGGCAGGTGTGTGGAGCTGGCTGACCGGCGTGTGGTGACTGGTGCTGAGGCTGGGTGAGGGTGGACCTGGGGGGTAATCCTGCCCCCACCAACTCTTTCCCACCCAGGACTCTCCCCGACGCCGGGCCGTCATCCTGAAATTCAGCCTTCAGGGCCTCAAGATCTACAGCGGGGAGGGTGAGGTAGGAGCCCGTGGGGGGGAAGGTGAGGCCTGGACTGGACAGGTGTCCGACTCCCTCAGGACACACTTGCCTCCCACTGGGCCCTGAACAGCCCCTGGAGCTTCCCTGGCCTGCTCTGGGGCTGGGGACAGCCTTTCTCCAAGGGCCCCCAAGGCACGTTCAGGCAACAGTTTCTCCTCTGTGCACCCCGCCGCTGGCCCTCTAAGGTCTCTAGGGGCCTCGTCCTGGCCTGAGCATCAGGACCATCCAGCCCCGTGAAGTTTTCGCCGGTGCCTGGGCTGCGGCCAGCCTCCCATGCCTGTGGAGCAGCAGCTGGACTCAGGCTGGAGGCCACTGGGAATTGCTGCTCCTCCACCTGTCCTCCTCCTGGGGAAGCCAGCGTCTGCGCAACATGAACCTCACGCTGGGCCGTGCGCCTCACAACTCCGGGCGCCACTCACCTAAGACTGTGGTGCAAAGGCTGTCCCGGAGCTGTGCATCGGAGGCCCTGGGGTCAGGTCCTGGGCCACGGGCATGAAGTCTCATTGCCCCTCACAAACAAGCCCCATCAGAGGGGTCTACGCCCACTTAACACTTGCTACAAGAGAGCTTAGAGTGTACTCACCCGCCCAGGTCACAGGAGTGTGAGTGGCCCCCAGTTCCCTAACGAGGATGTGTCAGTCCCAGCTGGTGGACGTCTGCCAGGAGTGGGGAGCCAGCGGTCCAAGCCCAGGGGCCATAGGAAGGATGAGGGTTGTGATTTGAAGTGGGGTTTGGACAGGTCCGGAAGGAGGGAAGAGTTCTGTCCCTCAGGAGCCGGGTGGGCCTAAGCTGGGCGTAGTCTGCTGAGCGGACTTGGGAGGGCTGGCAGCCGCAGGCCAGCTGGGGGGTCTGCTGGAAGCCCTCAGGCCTGCTGCCTCCCCAGGCACTCCTGATGGCTCACGCCCTGAGGCGCATACTCTACTCCACCTGGTGCCCAGCTGACTGCCAGTTTGCCTTCATGGCCCGGAACCCCCAGAGCCCAGCCAGCAAGCTGTTCTGCCACCTCTTCATGGGCAGCCAACCTGGAGAGGTATCTGGAGCCCAGGGCATGGGGACCTCCACTGAGGCTGGGTTAGGGGTGTGCTGTGCATCAGCAGGTGTTCCAGGGACCAAGGCCTTGTGGGCCTTAGCTAAAGGTATCTGGGCCCCTCCAGGCATGCACCCTTGGCCACATCGGCTCCTGTGGCTCTGCCCACTGAGGACTCCTCAAAAGCAAGTCAGTGGTCTCCACATTGCTCCTGCTGCCCTCTGCCCAGAATTGTTTCCCTTCTCATCCTGGTACACCTCCAGCTTGCCCTTCGAAGCTTAGCTCAAGTGTCTTAGAAGCCCATCTTGAGTCCTCTAGGCCTCTGCTTCCTTTTGGAGTCCTGACACATGTACTCTATCTTGGTCTGTCCCTAATGACAGACACTGGAATTCTTTAAGAACAGAGCCTGGGTCCAGGTCTTGAACTGTGGTGGTGCTTGGCCCCATGGAGTATTGGGTGGGCAGGAAGATACCCCAAGTCAAAGCCAGTATGACGGCCATGAACCACAGCCTTGGCAGCCAACCACTTGGCAAGCTGAGGCTGGGTTTGGTTCTGTCCAGCAAGCATTTGCTGTCACCCCTGTATGTCAAGTCCTGTGTTGGCTACTGGAGTAGCAGGTGGCTGAGACACGGCCCTTGATCTTCCAGAGCGCACGGTTCTGTGTTGGGCTGGATGTGTGTGTGTCAGGTAGAATGTGCTGGCCCCAAAGAGCTGGGCCTACCCTGGGGCCTTTCTGTGCTCCATTCCATTAAAGGAGCACAGGGAGGTGGGGATGAGGAAACCAAAGCACAGAGGGCCATATTCTGCCCAGAGTCACCAAGCAGCTCCTAGGTAACAGGATTGGATCCCAGCTTCTGTGACTCAGGACCTGGGCTTTTAGATCCTCCTCTAAGAGGATGGAGACAGTGTACAGGGTGGGGGGGGGGGTAGGATTGCATTCAGCCTGTGTATTCCCAGCTCCAAGCTCAGTGCCTGGAATAAAGCAGATGCTCAGTCATTATTAATGAGTAAAGGAAGCTGGTAGGGGAGGCTGCATGGTGGTGAGGTTTTGAGGGATAAGTAGGAGTTTTCCAAGGAGGAATGGGGAAGAACAGCCCAAGTCAAGGGGCTGCATACACCAAATGGTGAGTGGGTTGATGCCTAAAGATTTCCCTAGAAACTGAGCCCACTCTCCTCCCCACCCAGGTCCAGATCCTGCACCTGCTACTCTGCCGCTCCTTCCAGCTTGCTTACCTCTTACAGCACCCTGATGAGCGGGCGCAACCTGAGTCCTGCCTCGGTCCTACAGAGGATGTGCCCCTGAAGCCACTGTCCAGCCCAGGGGGCCCCCCTGGCCTAGTATGGGAGCCCTTCAGCCGTGATCAGCTCTCACAGAACGTTCATGCACTGGTCTCCTTCCGGCGACTGCCAGCGGAGGGGCCTCTGGGCAGTGGGGTATGCAGCACCCTGGCCTGGGAGTAGGCAGTGGACAGGGGAACTGGGTGAGGGTGTGCAGGTCATGTGGGGATGCCGGACTTCAGTGGGAGGGGGCTTCATCTGACCTCACACAGCTGGGTCTGAGGCTGCCTATGGACCCTTTTTGGTGCCCTAAAAGGAGCTGCCAGAGTTGGCAGGCCGTGGGGGCGTTCGCCATGCCCGCCTGGGGAATCCCTACTGCTCACCCACACTGGTGCGCAAGAAGGCCATTCGCAGCAAGGTGATCCGCTCTGGGGCCTACCGCGGCTGCACCTATGAGGCCCAGCTGCAGCTGTCCGCTCGGGAGGCCTGTGAGTTGCAGCTGGGGTGGGCCTGTGGGCGCCCGTGTGGGTATGAGAGGGTGGGCCTGAGGCCCGTTTCTCCAAGGCTGTGCCGGGGAGTTCACCTGGGTGGGCCCTGGGCCTGCATGCCTGGGACGGCGCAGGGCAGATGGCATAGCTGAGGCTGTGCTTTACCTGGTGGGGGCTGAGTGGGTGTATGCCTGTGTGTGGTGTATCTTTTGGGGGACGTGGATGGGAGCCTGCTGGGAGGCTTGGCCAGGAGACAGTGTGGGGGTGGGCAGGGAGGGCATGGCTCTCTCCTTCTGACCCCTGGGTGGTCCTTAGTTCCCGCAGCATGGGAGGCATGGCCCCAGGGTGCTGGTGGCCCCTGGTGCCTGGTGGAGAGCGAGGGCAGCCTGACAGAGAACATCTGGGCCTTTGCTGGCATCTCCAGGTAGGAGGGGCTTGGCCTGGCCAGGTGGGTGGAGAACTAGGCCATGGGCTCCCCAGGGCCCTGACAGGTGCATATTGCTGTGCAAGGGCAGAGCACCCCTGACTTCGGTGACCTCAGGCCGGGGACTTCACCACCCTGGGCCTCAGTGTTCTCAACTGTAAAGTGGGGACAATGAAAGGACCTTCACCGCAGGTGTGTGGAGAGGATCAAGTGAGGTCACCCCAGTGAAGCCCTCAGCACCTGGCCTGTCACAGGCAGCAGCTCCTTAAAATACTCTCCTGACTGGGTCTTAAAGTTGTCAGCAATTAGGGACCCCTTAGAAACCTTTGGAAAGGAAGTCTGAAAGTGTGCTTTCCTCAGGGGCCTACCCTGGGTCAGGCACTGCGTCTCCGTAATGCCAGGGGGGCAGCCTGAGGCTGGGTCCAGAATAGGGGGCCTGCCCTCAGCGCCCCCTGCCCTCCCAGACCCAGTGCCCTCGCTCTGCTGCGGAGAGACGTGCTTGGGGCCTTCCTGCTGTGGCCTGAGCCTGGCGCCCCTGGCCAGTGGTGCCTGTCGGTGCGGACACAGTGCGGCGTGGTCCCCCACCACGTCTTCCGCAACCACCTGGGCCGCTACTGCGTGGAGGTGAGTGTCCCGCCGGCCCGCCCCGCCCCTGGCCCTCAAGCCACGCCCCCTTCCAAGACCTGAGGTCCTGAGCCTCTTGGCCTCCTCCTCCTGCCGCCTTACCTAACTCACCGTCAGGCTCCTTTGTCATTGGCCCCGAAGTGCCCTCTCCAGCCGGGGCTTTCAGAGGGTTCCTCCAATGGGGTCCTGGGCTAGGGTCGTGCCTTACATTTCCATAGGAATCCAGGCTTTTAAAAGTCCTGCGTTCCCACACCTTAATGCATCTTTTAGCAGAGGAAGAAACTGACTCAGAGAGAGTAGGGTCTGGCCTAAGCTCACACAGCCTCTTGAGTCTCCTGGTGTGGAGTCTTGGCCTGACCAGGGACAAGATGTGTGCCCTTACAAACAAGCTGAAAGCCTCAGTCCTGTCTGGCCAGAGGAGAGGAAACGGGGTCTTGTTCTGCGGTGAGCAGGACAGTGACCTCTCTGAGCTTGAATTTCCTCCTTTCCAAAGTGGGGCGGGATGCCTCATGAGGGGGTGGTGGGTGCCACGGGGCAAGGGAAGCTGGAGCTGAAGCCCCTTCCTCCCCAGCACCTGCTGGCTGAGTTCCCCAGCCTGGAGGCCCTGGTGGAGCACCACGCTGGGACGGAGCGCAGCCTATTCTGCTCCCTCGACATGGGCCGCCGGAACCCCGGCTATGAGGAGCAGGACAGCGGGCCGGAGGGCAGGCCCCCCCGGACACTCCGGCCCCTTGGCCATGCCAAGTCCGAAGCAGAGCCTCAGGGCCTGGGCTAGCAGGCTGGGTCCCATGCCCATGGCCCCTCCACACCCTGGCTCGGGGGCCTCTGCAGGCCTCTCTGCCCTTCTTCCACCCCTCTGGTCACCAGTTCCATCCACTGCCCCTTGGACCAGTCTTCCATCACTTCACTGCCAGGCGGGGCGGGGGGAGCTCTGAGATTGGGGGTGGCCAGTGGCTTCTCACGGTACATGTGGCCCACATCGCAGGAGGGGCAGGTGGAGCTCCAGGCTTCCATTCACTTGCTGGGCGACTGGATGCTTGTCTCTGGGCCTCACTTTACTTGGAGAGGAGCTTCCTGAGGTGGCCAGGAAGGTTTGTTCGTGCTGGAAGTGTAGCCCTCTTCTAGGGAGTCTGCAGAGTGCCTGACTGAAGCCGCCAGGCATGTGAGGGAGGTGAAGACTGGGGCTGAGACACCTCCATGAGGGAAAGTGAGGACGCAGTGGAATTTGTGGGCATGGCGACGGGTTGGGCCACCTCCAAGTGGACAGAACACAGACTGTTTCTCACGTCATCTGAGGTGAAAGGAGTCAAGTTCTGAGGAGGGGGGGTTAGGAGGGTGCAGAAGGGGTAGGGTGGATGAAGCCAGGACACCCAAAGCCCATGGCAGGTGTACACAACGTGTGTGTACAGAGAACACCAGCAGACGGGGCCGAGAAGGCTAGTTCGTCTCCACTCAGAACCACAGGGTTGTGATGCCTGCTTTCCTGGAAGGGATGCCCCTGTTCCATCCCCACCCCCACACCCCTGAGAGCCACCAAGACACACACACACGCGCGCGCGCGCTCATTTCCCTTGGCCATTTGGGAGAAGACGCTGTCCGATTCCGGCATTTCGCTTAGTGTGGTACCGACCATACCTGTAAGGGGCCACCTCACTGAGCCTGCTTCAGTCAGTTGAAGTGAGGGGCCTTGGCCTCAGTGGGGAGTGGGGTCCAGGGAAATGATTCAGGTCTAAGGCCGTGGCCCTGCTGTGACTGACAGACCCCTTTATAAGTAACCTTGGCAGATGGACATGAATCTACCGAATTAAGTTAGGGAGCAAGTCCACTTTGGATAAACTTGTATTCCTGAGGTGGAGGCCTAGTTGTGAGTCTGGGGGCTGCCCTGTCCATCTGAGAATAGGGTGTGACCGTTCAGTGCCTTGAAAGTGAGATTTCTAACCCCCCGGAAAGAGGTTAGAAGGGAGACACCCTAACAGGTGAGGGAGACAGGGGACCCTAGGCAGGCCAGGCCTGGTGTTTCCAGCTTACAACCCCCAGCCCAGGAAAGGGTCTTGGCTGGGGAACTTGTCAGTTTTATCACAAGGGATAGGAGGAGCTTCCTTTGGGGGCTCTTTCCCCTAGAACTGCAGCAATGGTTTTTATACTGAATGTGAGTGGGAAGCCAGGACTCATCTTATGGCCATTTCTGCACTGAGCAAAGCTGGGTCCTGGGCAAAGCCCTGGTCTCTAGTAGGAGGCCACAGCCTCACATTTTCTTGGCAAGAAGAAGCGTTTGGTGGTGATATGCTGTCCAGGATTACAGCCCTGGAGATGCATATTTAAGAAGACCTGGTGACTGGTCCAGACTTAGACCAAAGCTTACCTCTATGAGGGAAGGGTTTTGTGGGGCAAATTATCCATGTGGACAAGGTATCGGGAATGTTCCCAAAACACGTTAACATTCCTCCACACAGCGTTCATCGTGCCACAAATAGGGCAAGGTTTTTGACCCACATGTGCAGATGCCTCGGTGTCTTAATTATAGATGACAGTTTTCTCTTTGTTCCAACTAGCACTACCTGGGTAGCCCAGCTCTTCTTACTGTGTGGATTTGAAACGAATAAAATGCATTTCTTCAGATCATCCAGTACAGACCTTTTCTTAGGTAGGCGAGGAGGCCTTTGCCCAGTTTGCTTGTTCTGTTTTTGTCAGTCACATCTTCAGCTGTGCTGCCTGGTGAGCCAGACAGAGATCTTGTCCTCAGGGGCTCTGCCTGTCCTGAAAGAATCTGGTGGGTGGATTTATTCAAATCATGTCTCTTCTGCTTCAAACGTTCAGTGGGTATTTCCTGTAGGAAAAAGCCTCAAGTCCTTATTCTCTGGTGACTTGGGCTTTCCTTCTGCTCCCGCAATGTGCCACAGGACCTTCACACAGCCCAAACAGGTGTCCTTGTCCTCTTTCTCTCCCTTTGCTGGTGAGCTCCTGAGCCTTACCATCTCAGCTCCTGTCACTCTCAGGAAGCCTGCCCTCAGGCCCCCAGCCCCCAGAGGACTGGGTGAGGTTTCCTAGTTTTATTCCATAGAACTGGTTCTTTCCTTTGTAATTACACTTTATTAACAGCAGTTTGCTTGTGGGATATTTGTTTCCAGTGTCAGTCTCCTCTCCTGTGGGCACCAGGAGGACAGGGACTAGTTTGTATCCCAGGGCCCATCACCGCACCTGGCACTTAGAGGACAGTTTCTGTGCCTAGAGGAGGCGTGACAGACGCTGTTCTGGCTGGAGGCACTTGTGCTGAGCCGGGAGGTGGACAGGGCAGCCTCTCCAGCCAAGACGTTGGCTCTCAAAAGCTTTTCGTTTAGTTTGGTTGTTTAATTTAGAGTTTTAGAGAAAACGAGCGGCGGCGTTGGAAGGACTCTCTGCCCTGTCCCAGGGGCGATGACAAGCTCCGGGCAGCCTTCCCCTGAGTCAGGTCGGAGCTGCGGATGAAGGGCGGCAAGGTCCTTGTTGCCGTTCTCAGGAGGTCTGGAGCCCCGCGGGCGGCTCCTCGTCGGTGTCTCTCCCAGGTGGAGTCTGGCCCGCCGACAGCTGGGCAAGTCGCGTGCCCTCTCCGACCCCGAGCTGTGATGTTTAGACAGCAGAACGCGCGTGTACCGCCTGGCGTGGGCCGCCTCCGGCCAAGGGACGGTCCCACGCGACGCCCTGCGGCCCGGCGCCCCCAGAACGCGCCGACGTCCCCGGGAGCCGCCGGCTGTGACGCCGCGGGCGTTGCCCAGCAACGGTGAACGCCGCAGCGGCGAGCGGGGCCGCAGGAGGCTCCGAAGCTCGGTTCCTGCGGCGGCGCCTGCAGCGCGGATCCCCCACGTCTCCCGCCCCGGCCGGGCCTCGGGGACGGGCGATCCCGGGCGCGGGAGGTGGCGGCTGCCCCGGCCCGGTCCTGAGGCTCCCCGCCCCCTGCTGCCCGCGGTCTCCCGCCCCGCGACCGTGCGTCCCCGCCGCGGCGCCATGACCGCCGAGTCGGTGAAAGTGGTGGTGCGCTGCCGCCCCATGAACCGGCGGGAGCGGGAGCTGAACTGCCAGTGCGTGGTGACGGTGGACTCCGCGCGCGGCCAGTGCTTCATCCAGAACCCGGGCGCCGCCCACGAGCCTCCCAAGCAGTTTACCTTCGACGGCGCCTACTACATGGAGCACTTCACCGAGCAGATCTACAACGAGATCGCCTACCCGCTGGTGGAGGTGAGGGCGCCCGGGAGGCCGCCTCCAAGGACCGGCTGGGCAGGGCTTGGGGCCCCCTGGGGGGGTCCTGAAAGGACGGCGAGGCCCACAAGTTGGGCAGGAAGGCCGCCCTGGAAGGGGTCAGGTGGACAGTGACAGATTGGGCTGGAGACTTTCGTCCAGGCAGGAGACAGAAGGAACCTCCTATAATGTCCATGTCTCCACTGCCCCCAGTGCCAGAGCTGGTGCTCACCTCAGTCCTTTCTGGTCCCCAAAACTGCTCGCCCTCCCTTCTCATCAGAGAAGCTCAGGACTTCGGTAAAAGCTCCAGCCACCTCCCCCAGTCGGTGTTGGCCTCCTCCCGGCTCAGTCGCCTCTCTACCCTCCCTAGGTACAAGTCTGTGTGTGTGCTGGGATTCCCCCACGTCTGCAGAGAGAAGGCCGCTGGCCTGGCTTTTGTCTTAGAGGAATGGAAACCCTTTACCTTTGGTCTAACTTACTTCCTCAGGGGTTGAGGAACAGGGGCAATGAATTTCTCAGCCTTTGTGGGCCTTTCCCCAGAGCACTCTCACACTAGGTAGCTCACTTGGGCTTTGAAACAAGGAAGGCACCCCCATTTCACAGACAGGGAGACTGAGGCCCAGAGGGAGGAGACTTGCCTAGGCTCCATGGGCTGGAGCCACACCTTGTGTCTCATGGCCAAGGGCTCTTTCCTTTCTACCAGCATCTCCCCAACTGCAGCGAATCATTAGCTAAGTGAGATGTCACAGGTTGTCCCAGAAAAAAAGGAAAGTTAGGGAAATGCTGAATACAGCTTGTCTCACTTGAAGTTTCCACGCACACAGTGGGATACTTGGCACCCTGGGGAGTCCTGCAACCAACAAGCTCGTTTGGCTTGGTTAACCCAGTGTTTCCAAAATGTGTTTTACCACAGAGCCTTTTTTGTTTTGGCTGGCAGGCCATTCAGCAACTAAGAAGCCTGTAACACCTCTTCTGGCTGCCCTATCTCTTCTTTGAAGATGCAGTCAAAGCCCTTGAGAGGGCTGAAGTGTCTGAAGCCCACAGCTCCTCAGAGGTCAGGATTTTACTCAGGGGTGAGGGCAGCTCTCCCTACAGGTGCCAGGCTCTGGGGATGGCCAGGCTGTCCTTCTGCCATCCTGGACGGGACCTGAGGGTTTTTCTGGTCCCGTCCCCCTACCCCACTGGGTCCTTGAAGGTCCACCCAGTGGCAGGAGCCCCTTCTTCCCAAAGCAGCCCGTTCCACCTTTGCTCTTAGCTCCTGGAAGACCGTCCTGCACAGTGAGTCAGAGTCAGCCTCCCTGAAGCCACTTGGCCCGGCTCTGACCCATGGGCACCCCGAACACCTCTGCTCCCTTGTCCAGGGCTGGCCCCTTGGAGATTTGAAGATTCCAGGACTCAGTTCCTCCCTGGCTTTGTCTCCTTCGGGGCCTCAGCCTTGCTCATGGGTCCCTTCCTCATCCTGGAAGTACTCCTCTGAGCAAGCCTCCCTTTTCAGGGTCCCCGGGAAGCCCCAGGCCAGAGGGATGATGCTAAGGACCCACTGGCTGTATGAGATCTCTCCTCCAGCTCTCCCTACTGTCCCCACTTCTGATACTACTTGGGGATTTTCTGCCAGACACCTGCCTATGGAATCCACAGAACCTCAAACTCAACACATACATGTTCATTTAATTAATTCAGTCATTCATTTATTCAGCTAACAAATAGCATCTCCATACTAGGCCCCATCTAGTCATTGGGAGCACTGTTCTCTAGCTCATGGTCAGGTGGAGGAGCAGCTAAGCTAACAGCTAGATCCAGGGCGATGGGTGGGAGGAGAAGCATCTGGCAGCTTGGTGAAGACTAGCAAACCCAGACTTGGAGGGGAGTCAAGGAGGGCTTCCTGGAAGTGATAGGGTCTCAGTGATGAGCCCTGAAGGATGAGAGTTATAGGCCAGACAAGAAGGTAGAGGAAAGGGCCTTCCAGGTGGAGACCAGCATTTGGTTCTCACAAGACTCCGTGGACATGTGTGGGGCTGGACTCCTCATTCCTGATGGGAAAACCGAGGCCTGGAGTGTCACAGAGTGAGTTAGCAGAGATTCTGATGCCCACTGCAGTGCCCGGTCCTCCTGCTCCAACCTGCTACCTGTCATACAATGAGCAGCATGAAAGCACAGCTCAGGTGGCTCTGAGCCAGGAGCAGCTGCACCATTAGGGCCACGTGGCTGTGTGTCCATCCTGCTGGACTCTGCTCTGCTCCCAGGGCGCTCCCAGGGCTCTGACCACCTCCAGGTGGGCTCCTGCCCAGGCCCTTCCCGTTGGTCCTACTTTACGAAGCTGCCAGCCCTTCTGACTGCCCTATTCTGCCCTTTCCTTCCCTTTTCCTTCTCCAGCCCTCAAATCCAGGCTTCATTCCTGATGGTCTCTGTCACTGAGTGACCTCTCTGGCTCTCCTGGGTGCTGCCCACCCCGGACCCACCATTCAGCCGGCCCAGCGTGTCCTAACCCGAGGTTCCTCACCTCTGTGCCTGGCCTGCTGCCCTGCCTGTGGGCTGTCTCCCAGCCGGTGGCTTTGCCATCTCCCCCTTCACACCCATGGCCTTGAAGTCACCTCTGAGCAGCCCCCCTACCCAGACGACCCAGGGGCCAGGTATCCTGGCTTCTACCATGTCCAGACTGAGGATAGTGGGCCAGGTTTCCGGAGATATTGATGCAATGGGAGCCATAGAATTTGGTCCCTGGATGGGACAGAGTGATTCAACAGACGAAAGCTGTAATGCTATTTAATGGGAATTATTGCTGAGGATGACATGTTAAAAAGCAAGTTGATTAACAGTTGATTTCATGAAAATCATTTAGTGATAATAGCACAGGGGAATGTGACAGAATCCGGGGTGGAAGTACAGAGTGGCTGACATTTAGGACCTGCTCCACATGTGAGCCTGTCCCTGGCAGGTCTTCAGGTCAATTGATGGGTGATATTTTTTTGAAATCTTATGTTTTATCTTAAAAGTGCATGTGAACCTGTTTTCTGCTTCGCTCCAGAGCAGTGCTGTTCTGGAGCACTGCCTGTGATGGTGGGAACGTTCTGTGTCGGGGCTGTCCACTTGGGGCCCACTAGCTATTTGTGGCAAGCAAGCATTTGAAATGAAGCTAATGCTGTTGAGGAACTGAATTTTAATTTTATTGAATTTTAATTAAGCGAAATGACCACATGTGGCTAATGGCTCCCATATTGGATGGCAGAGCTCTGGGGCAGTGCTTTCCAAAACAAACATAATGTGAGCTACATGCATACTTTAAATGTTTCTAGTAGCCACATGTTAAAAAAGTGAAAGGAAACAAGTGAAATTAATACATTTTACTCAACCCAAGATATTCAAGATATTATTTAAATAAAGCATCATAGCAGATATTATCATTATAGAATAACTGATAGATTTTACATTTTTTCCATACTAAGTCTGAAATCAGGTATGTGTTTTATACTTATAGCATGACTCAATTCAGATGCTAACGTGTCAGCTGTTGAAATGGATCACAAAAAATGGAAAAATGTTTTAGACTGTTTCAATTAAGAGAAATTAATTAAAATCAGTTCCGCAGTCACACTGGGCACATTTCTAGTGCGCTTAGTGGCTGCCCCACTAGCCAATGCAGCAGTGTTTATTTCTGTATAGAATCCCTTCTCTGGATGACACTGATAGCAGTGGGTGACAGTGATACTCTGGCCTCTGCACCGTGTTCTTCCTGGGACTTTATGTGTCCCCAGTGATGAGGAGCCCAGCCAGCGGGGCTCCTGGTTGGGTGACCAGTCTGCCACTGCCTCCCCCACTGCAGGGGACCCATCCCTGTGTGTGCTGGGCCTGCCACCTTCTGATGAGCTGCAGGAACCCACTCCGTTTTCAGGGTTCCTTGGATAGGAGACAGGTGCTTGTCTAGTTCTGCATGTAAAAATGAGGCCTGTCCCTCTGAGAGGCTGTGAATCATGACCTCTGTGGTCTTCCTCCATCAGCAGTCCTGAGGCCCCTGAGTCCCGTATGGTCTACAGGATGGGACTATGCAGTGGAAACCAGGCATAAATGCCCTGTGGGTCCTCGGGGCCTGGAAGCAGGACTCTGGGCCCATGTTCTGACACAGGACTCCCCCTCCCCTGTGCGGAGTTCTAGAATTTGTGACCCAGTGAGTTCTGCGAGGGCAGGGACTGGGCTATCCACCGTGCCCGTCGCTCATCCCCAGCCAGAGCACGGTGCCGGCACAGACTGGGAATCAGTCCCTATGGAATGACTGTCCTTTAGGGAATGAAGGACTTGAGGCCTGCTGCCCAGCTGGCCGCCTACCTTCCTTCCCAGCCTGGTCTTCCATCCCCCTCATCCAGTTCCACCTGCTCCCAGCCTCTCACCCCTCTGAGCCCCTCAGCTAGGAGTGCCTTCCTCTTCCTGTCACCTGTCAAAATCAAGCCCACTGTCACTACCCTGGTTCTCCTCCGACCTTCCCAGGAAGCTTGGCCTGGTTCTCTCTGCACATCGTTCCCCCTCTCGGCATGCCCTCTCCTTGCCGGGTGTGGGAGCATTGTCATTACATCCACCTCCACTCGCTTGTGTGAGAATCACTTGTATCCTGGTCTCCCCCACACTCCAGGCAGACATTAGCAAGCACCTCTGCATGCCAGCGCTCCACGTGCCAACGCGTGAAAGCACTCAGGCAAGCCTCACGACAGCCCCAGAAGGACATGCTGCTCTCACCCCTTCTCATAGAGGAGGCCCCTCAGGCTCCACACGCCTCGCTAAGACCTGCCCGAGGGCGCAGGGTCAGGAGAGGGTGGGCACTGGATCTGAACCCAGGTGGCTAGGCCCTGCAGCACAAGCTCTTAACCACTCATAGGACAGTCTCCAGCCCCACCAGACAGTGAAGTCCTTGAGGACAGAGCTGCGCTGCATTCATCTCTACACTGCCCACCTGCACCCCAGTGCCACTGTGGTGGACACCAGGGAGGGGCCTCCAGCCTGTGAGTGAGGAGGCAGCCCTGCAGACCTGGGCTGGCCCCGACCCGGCTGGGCTCGGCCAGCTGAGCACCGGGCTTTTGGTCCCCCCATGCAGGGCGTCACTGAGGGCTACAATGGCACCATCTTTGCCTATGGCCAGACTGGCAGCGGGAAGTCCTTCACCATGCAGGGCCTGCCGGACCCACCCTCCCAGAGAGGCATCATCCCCAGGGCCTTTGAGCACATTTTTGAGAGCATCCAGGTATGGGCCTGGTGGAGGGAAAGGGCAGGGCTGGTCCAGGGGGCCTGTGGGCTCCCCAGGTGCTGCTGTGATTGGTCCTGGGGCGCTCTGACCTGCGGCACGCTGCCTGATCAGCCTGCGTTGACTCGGCACAGGTGAGCAGGGGCAGGCTCTGACTTCTGAAAGGGTGAAGGGAAAAGAACTTAAAACTGAGAAGCTTCTACCTACCAGTTCCCTGTATACCTCCTGCCATTTTGGGGTTTTAACATTTCATTTCATGACACTCTAGGAGGATGCGATGACCCGGAGCACTGGCCTGAGCAGTGCTTGTGACAGTCATAGTTTCCCTTTTCATTGAGCTAAGCCTTGTGCAAAGCCCTTTGCGTAGTAATCTCATTGACTCTCCACCCTGGCCCAGGAGGTAACATTACTCCCATTTTCGAGATTAAGGAAGCCAAGACTTGGAGCCCTTATGGGCCAGGCCAAGGCTCGTTATCCCAGTGTCCAGCTGCAGGTGAGACTGCCCTGGCGACAGTTCATGGCAGTGCACAGAGGTTCCTCCAACTGGGAAATGGCCGAGCGGGGACCGCCACCTGGGCAGATGCAGAGCCCACTTCCCCTGCTCCCGGGACTCATGCTGGGGCTGCCCCACCCCTCCCCACCCGGGCAACAGCAACATCTAGCAACGGAGAACTGTCAGGGATCAGCCTAGGGCCAGTTGCTTGGTCCCAGCCTCACCTGGAGGCTCAGTTTCTCTGCCTGAATAATGGGAGGCCTCTCCCATTTCCTTTCCCCTGAGGCTTGTAGAGAGAGATTAGACAATGCAATCTGAAAATTATGCAACTCTGAGGAGCCTGAGGGCCACCCAGCTGGAGAGGAGGAAAGAGCTTGCCAGGCGGGCAGGCAGGGCCAGGTGGGGCTGGGGACTCCTCTCCCCTCCTGCTGTGATGTCCTGGCTGCAAAGGGCTTGGGTCCCAGGGTCAGGCCTGGCAGCAGGTGCTCAGGGGGCTTTGCTCTCCCTGTCTACCCTCTGTAGTGTGCAGAGAACACCAAGTTCCTGGTCCGGGCCTCCTACCTGGAGATCTACAATGAAGATGTGCGTGACTTGCTGGGGGCTGACACCAAGCAGAAGCTGGAGGTGGGCGCAAACCCGACACAGGCAGGTGGGGGCTGGGGGGGGGAATGCTGGCATCAGGTGGTACCCACTCAGAAATACAGGGAAGGCATCCTGAAGGCACAGGCGCTGGTTCAGACTAGAGTAGGGACTTTTGAATCAAAGTTTGGAGTGTTTGCGGAGTCCAAGTTGCAGGGGAGGGTTGGAGGGGGCCACACGGTGGGGCTGGCCCCTACAAGGTAATGCTCCCTTTATTGAAATAGATGAAATTTTATGATAGATTTCATTTGAAAAATAGGTTCCACTTCTAAAGAATTGTTTTGAAAATCTCTAGGGGCCCTTCAAAATAGACAGAGTAATAATGATTATAGTTTATCGAGCACTTACTATTTCCTGACTGCTTCAGGCACATTTCCTATTTAATACTCACAGTAACCTTGTTAGGTAGATACCATCATCCCCGGTTTACCACAATAGAGAGGCTAGTTTAGGGAGGTTGATTGACTTGCCGAAGTGTTACACAGCAGTTAAGTGGCTGAAGCTGGGTTTGAACCCAGGTCTGTCTGACTTCAAGTGCTGAATCTCAAACATCCCATTCTACTGCTGCTGGTGGCCTCAGATTCTGGGACCTTGTTACCCTTTGAAAGGGGTCTGGCTTGGGGGTACCCAAGGACCGATGGTACGACCTTACAGAGGGGTTGTGAGGATTGAAGAAGGTCGTGAGGATGAGCTACTTAGCAAAGCACTAGTGTGTAGTAGGTGTTTGATGTGTGAGCTCTTGCGTGGCGTCGGGATTTTGAGAAGGACAGTGAATATGACCAGGGGTTGGTTACCAAGTGGAACTCTTCGAGGGAGGGGTCAAGGACTGATTGTTCATGATAGAAAAGGGCAGAGCTGGCTCACTTGGTCACTGAGCATCGCATACATTTCATAAATTGTCCTCAGGCTAGGAAGAACATTATTTCCCAGCAGGGTGAAGTAGGATTAGATGCTCTGAGGATTCTTCTGAGATGGACAGAACTTGACTCAGGAAGGTCAAGTGACCTGCTAGAACTGAACAGCCAGTTGGTGGCAAGGCTGGACCCAGGTCTGGGTCCTGAGCCTTCACCTGAGTGTGAGGCCTTGGTTATATGCCCTATCTGGGACTTGTTATACACTTGGGGGTCTGGTCAGGTCTGAGGAGGAGAGGCCAGTCAGGGCAGGCTGACGTAGATCTGCAGCCAGAATGCTAGTGGCTACCCTTCAACTCTGGTGCTGCTTATCTGACCAAGCAACCAGTGGGCTCCCAAGAGGCCCACCTCCTTCAGATGCAGAGTGCTTGAGTTGGGGGTTTCAAACAGTAATGAGCATCAACTCCGTGAGGTTGCTACGGAGATTCCCGTTTTACAGGTGAGGAGACCAGTCTGAGAATGAGGTGATGACTTAAGGCCACTCAGCTAGGAAGCCACAGAGTCAGGGCTGGACATTTCCCTGGCCCAAACTACTTAGATCTCCCCCAGGCACATGCCTTGACAGCCACAGGGGAGACACAGAGCCAGGTAGGGGGGCTGCTCCGGACGCCTCCCAGTGCTCCCAACCCTCACTGACTGCTTAGACAGAATGTCGGAACCACCTGGTTTTCACCCCACCTCCACCCACGTGGGGTCAGGGTGGCCTGCTAGGCTGGAGCAGCCTGCTTGCCCCCACTTGCCATGTGTCCATTTTGGGGACTGAGTTCCTCTCTGATCAGCAACCACTCCTTGGTCCAGCTGAACAAATCAGACCTCAGGGAGCAGCTGTCTTGAAAACTTTTTTACCAGTCATATCATGGAAAAAAATCATTAAAATTTTTTGAGCTGAGAAGACCCTTAAAGAGCTTCTAGTCCAACTCTTTCCTGCCACAGATGAGAAAGCTGAGTCCCAGGGAGGGGAAGAGAATTGGCTAAAGTCACACAGCAAATTACTAGTAACTGCATTTCTACAGAACTTGTGGGATCTGAGTAGCTGGGTGCTTTCTTCCCTGTATTTTTGGGGTCAGCAATACAGGAAACCCTTGGGCAATGAGAAGCCAGCAATGGGTTTCCATTCAAAGATAAGTTCGGTGAAAGTTGAGACATTCATTCAACAAAGACTGACTGGGAAGACCTCGAGTGTAGCAGCGCCAGGCCACATGCTGCAACAGGTCCGCACAGGTGTGAATTCCCTCCCTCCAGGTCCCCATTCCGACCAGGGCCTGCCTGGACGCCTCCTCCTCCGCTCCTCCCCAGCACCGCAATGCTTTGCCCTTTCTGTGCAGGAACCTCCAGCCGCCCACTGCAGTCCTTACTCTGTCTTTTCATTCCTGGAGCTGGGGTAGCTGAGTCATAGCTCAGCCCCCAGACAGGAAAACGGGGAGAGGAGGCAGGCGCAGGGACTTGCTCCCACATGTCAGCCCCAAAAGGTCAGCCTGCGGATTCAGGGCCTGTGCGGGCGGCACAGAGCAGAGGGGCCCTCCTCCTCATGCTCAGTATGCTGGCCCCTGGCACGGCCTCGGTTACCCAAGGCCCGAGGGACGAAGGTGTGGCAGCTGCATGCACTTGCCCCAGCTGGGGTCCAGGCCGCAGGTTTGGAGAGTCAGGCTGCCTTGCAGGTGGGAGAACTGCCAGTGACAGGTGCACCCAACATCACAACAGTCTCAGGACAAGGGGCTGGGGCCTGTTCTTAGCCCTTATCACAGAGGAGGCCACTGAGGCTCCGTGTGCCTGGGTGAGACCAGCCCACCTTCTCAGGGCCAGGGAAGGATGGAGATGGGATTTGAACCCAGGCCCCACAGCACAAGCTCTTAACCTGTGCTTAACGCAGGGCCTGCATTTTGGTAATGAGAGGTTATTTGATCGGCTAGGGCCTGCAAGAGATTTGGGGGAGCCTGTTACCACCCTCCCCTCCTTCCGGACCACTGCGGACCTGGCTCATGGAACCCACCCCAGGGCTAGGCAGTGGAGGCCCTCAGGGCCACTCCAGTAGGTTCCAGCACCCCTATGGACAGTGTTATGACCCCCTCCTCCTTGGGGGCACTTCCTGGCTGGGGCCGGCTGTGGACGCATCCTGCGGGCTCACCTGCGCCACCGCAGCTCAGCGTGTCCCCCCTGTGGTTGCCATGGCGACCGTGCTCGCCGCGCAGGCGCAGTTGCCAAGGAAGCAGCGCGCTGGGGGCGGGGAGCAGGCATCCCCAGGTGGGGGCAAGCCTTCCTGGGCCCCCAAATAGGCGAGTGGCACCCCTACGTGAGGGTTTGCCTCCTTGCTCCCTTCTCCTGCTTGTGGGAGACAGAACGTCCCCGCCCCCCTCATGCCCGTGTGTACGGAGCCCCTCCGAGAACGCGGAGCACTTTTTAGAGCCCCACTCTCTTCTCAGTCTTCATAATAGTCTTGCAAAAATGGGCTTTAGTATCTTCACTTTACAAATGAGAAAACCGAGGCCCAGGAGAGGCAAACTGACTTCTCTAACTAGCAAGCGACAGAGCGAGGTTTCTACCCAGGACTGTCTGAACAATAGGAAGCTCCATTCTTCCTGAGGCGGTGAGCGGCCTCACTTAGCTCGGGCTCCTGTGCGCCAGGCCGGCTTCTGGGTTCTGGGAGCGGCACTGGGCAGAGCAGACAGAGGCGCAGGTACAGCCTTGGGCGTGAATGGAACCTTGGGTGCCACAGCGCCCCGGGCTGGCTTCAGGCCACACTGTCTGCAGGGGCTCCTGCTTCCGTCCTCTGCTCCATCTGCACAGCCACTTCCCAGGGCAAGGTCAGCCCGTTGTCATCCCAAGCTCCAGTCACTACAGGCTGCGCCAGCCCCTCTCCATCCTCTGCCTTAGAGTCTTCCACAGCCTATGACCCCAGGGCTGCCCTGCCACTAATAGCTGTGTGACCTTCAGAAAGTCACTTAAACTTTCTGTGCCCCAGTTTCTTATGTGTTCCATGAAGCACAGTCCTTCAGGCTGGGCCTGGCTGTGTCTCCAAAGTTCGGCTGATGGGGCAAGGCTTTGCTCCCCCGGGCTCCCAGCTGTGCAGCGTGGGCCCAGTCCCACCGGGGACCCAGGCTGCCTGGAGCCCAGCCTTTGAGGCTTCTGTGGCTCAGAGTGGCAGACGGATGACTTTTATCCTAATTTATTCTGCTCTTGCCAGAGTGGTTTTATTTCCTCTTACACTTGAAAAATATTGCATTTCACAGCTCTGTGTCAGCAACAAAACAACTTGGCTGCCTGGAGAGCAAACAGGGAGCCATCAGATAAATTAATTTACTCACTGCCATCATGCTGTGGGCCCAGTTCTGGGCAGCAAATGGCCCTTCATGCATCATGATCCCAGCGTCTGGGGACATCCTTGTTGCCCTAGACCCATGGCAGAGAAGAGAACTGGAGCCATGTTTAGAGGGCAGGGGTGAAGCAGTCAGAGCCCTTGGGTGACTACAGGCTCAGCTCCCAGGAGCTGAAGTTCCAGACTGGAAACCACCTTTACTATAATTGCACCGACAGCAACAGTGAGGACAGTGGCTGGTGTTTATGGAGCACTTTCCAGGCCCCGTGCCAAGTAGTGTATGGGCCTTACTTAGCTGAGTACTCACCACATCCCTAGGAGATAAGTGTGTTGTGCCCATTTTACAGATGTGGAAACTGAGGCCCAGAGAGGGGAAGTTGCTGGCCCAAGGTCCCACAAGTAAGAGGCAGGAGAAGGTTTGAGGCTGGTTCCGCTGAAGCAAAGCCCCTGCCTGTTACAGGGAGTTTGAGGTGACAGCCTGCAGTACAGGAGGGCAAAGGTGGCCTGAACTGGACCCTTCCCAGCCCACTCTTTCCCTTGCCTCCTGCCGCAGCTGAAGGAACACCCGGAGAAGGGGGTGTACGTGAAGGGGCTGTCCGTGTGCACGGTGTACAGTGTGGCCCAGTGCAAGCACATCATGGACACGGGCTGGAGGAACCGCTCGGTCGGCTACACCCTGATGAACAAGGACTCCTCGCGCTCCCACTCCATCTTCACCATCAGCATCGAGATCTGTGCTGTGGGTAGGTGGGGCCGGGCGGGGGGCGGTTCCCACTCCTAGCAACCAAGGCAATTCATCTCTGTGGGCCCAGAGGCCCCCCCTGAAACTAGGAGGGGATGCAGGAGCTGCCTAGAGGAAGCACAAGAGGACCTTCGCACACTAGGGCCCATGCTCCCGGGATAACGACCACCACCAGCAACACTAACAACACTGGCAGCTAACTGAGCACTTAATTTATGGGCTGTGCGATTTGTCTGCATTAGCTCCTTTACACCTTATGAAGGCCCCATGAGGTGGATACCAATAGCATCCCGTTTTACAGATGAGGAAATCGTGGTCGCACGTGTCAGAGCGGGTCTTCTATCCCAGGGGTCTGTCCCCAGGGTGTGTACCACCTGGGCCTTTGGGATTCTCCCCTTCCTCTGCGGTGCTCTCCACTCTTCCATCATGTCACTTTTCCTTCTTTCTAGAAGAGTTCCTGAGAGACGGAGGAGGAAGGAAAACACATTTTTTTCCAGCTGCCTATAGATGCCATGCTAAACACCTTACACGCTCAGTTCCATTTAAACCCCACCACAGCCTAGAGTAGACATTGTGATTTTCATTTTATGAGACGAGAAAACCGAGGCTCTGAGGGGTGAAGTGACTTTTTGTTCGAGGTCCCACAACCAGTAAGTGGTGGAGCTGGGATTAGAACTCTGGTGTCTCTGACATCTGAGTTTCTCCCACTGACACAGTAACTGCCTCCAGCTTGTGGTCTGTCACAAATAGACACCCGAGAGCAGTGGCACAGGAAGCAGCCTCGGCCCAACTAGGAACCTAATTCTGGAGAGATCCTTGACCTGAGGTCCAGGCCTGTGTCGATGGAACCCCTGCCCCACTGCCCAGCATGTGTGGTAACCCGGCCCTAGACTGGCCACCTGCTGCCTGCCAGGTCTGCGTCTCCCCCAGGGGTGCTGAAACGGGGAGCTCAGTGTGGTCACATCCTCCTGTAGTGAGGCTGTGGGTCGGGGCAGGGACTAGGGCAGGCGAGGGCAGGTGGACAGGAAGCAGGAAGTAGTGGCCTTGCGGGTGCCCCTTGTTTGCCAATGGGGTTGAAGGATGGGACAGGCTGCCTAGAATAGCCTTTACATTTTTTTTTAATGTTTATTATTTTCACTATAAAATAAGTTCAGTAAAGATATTTAGGAATTAGGGAACCATAAGGAAAATTACTCATAAATACAACTGTTTCATAGTCTTTAAGCATATTTTCTTTTGGTCCTTTTTATCCTATGAAAATTCTAATAAACACAAGTGAAATCTGACGCTCTATAGCTTTGTTCCCACATTTCATTTCCCTTGGCATGGCTAACCGTTTTCCTGCCTCATTACTGCCATGTCTTCCTGACTGTGGGTGGTGGCTGAGGACAGGGCATTAATGGCCCTTTTCTAACCAGTTCTCTACGAGACGTGGAAGGTGTCTCCAGTTTTCCAGTGTTATAAATAATACCACGATGAACATCTTTGTGCACAAACCTTTTCTGCTTTCAGAGTCATTTCCTCAGATTAGACTCCCTGGAGTATACCTCCTGGAGCAAAGGGTACACATTTGTTTAAAGCTCCTGGTATATTCTGTAGAGCTTTCCTAAAGGACAGTTCCAAGTCCCTCCTTCCTGCTGTTTCTTTTCTTTTCTTTTTTTTAATAACCCAAAAACCTCAGGACCCTTACATATTCAAGCCTCTGCTGGGTACCAGCCAAGCTTTTTATTTCTTTACTTCAGGCTGCCGTATTGCTGAGCAAAACTAGGCCAATTCTGGTTTCCACCAGCAAAGCTGAGGAGAAAGCCCCTGCTCCTCCCCCTGTCTCGCCCCCTCCCCCAGCTCATTCAGAACCATTTATCATGTCATCTGGTGACAATAAGAATTATTAATAGTGCTCAGAGCAGCAAGCTATCATTTAATGAGCACTCGCTATGTGCCAAGCGCAATCCTGAGCTCTTTGCATGTGTGCTATCAGCCTAATTCTACAACAACCCTTGGCGTGGGCCTTAGATACCTATTTTACTGCAAGGGAGCCTGGGGCTCAGAGTCAAATGAAGTTATTTCCCTGAGTTTCACAGCTATTAAGAGATAGAATGGAGATGGGCTCCCCCAGGACTGTGCCTTCAGAACCTATGCTTCTGAGCCCGGCTCCTGTTACCCTCAGCACCTGGGTCTGCGGGGCCAGCACAGCCTGTCACTGCAGAACTGGGCTGTTGTCAGGGGCTGTGAGCACCGGCTGCATGCTGGACCCTGTGCAGACTCTGTCCAAATGCACTGTCAGTTTACTCCTGGCAATAACCAACCCGAGTGGGAAGCCATTGTTAGTCTTATTTTGTTGATGTGAGAATTGAAGAGCAGAGAGGTACGTGGCTCTGCCAAGGTCACTCAGCAAGTAGGAGGCAGGAGTGGGAAGCAGGTCCAAGAGTCCCCAGAGCCAATGTTTTGGTATTAAAAGATACAGTTCCCTGGTTAGCCCAGTCTTAGCCCCTCCCCCCCTGCTTTGGCCTCACAGGAAATCTGTAGGAGCTGCTGATAGCTGTCAGAAATCGTGCTGCTCTCAGAGAGTAGTCTGTACCTCCCAGCCACTCTTCCCCAGAGTCAGACAGCCCTGGGTTCTGATCTTGGACCCACTACTTAGCGGCTGTGTGATCCTGGGCAAGTTAAGAGCCCTGTCTGAGCTCAGTTTCATCATCTCTAAGATGGGCACAATGATAGTACCTCCTTTGTGGAGCCCTGTGTGGCTGGAATGAGACCTTCGGTGAGTGGTGAGCACTCACTGACTGGTGGGTGACTGCCTTCCTTTCCGGGGGGGCTCACCTAAAAGGCCTCACCCCTCTGCCTGCTCGCTCTGTAGGTGAGCGGGGCAAGGACCGCCTCCGGGCAGGGAAGCTGAACCTGGTGGACCTAGCAGGCAGCGAGCGGCAGTCCAAGACAGGTGCCACCGGGGAACGGCTCAAGGAGGCCACCAAGATCAACCTGTCGCTGTCAGCACTGAGCAATGTCATCTCGGCCCTGGTGGACGGACGCTGCAAACACATCCCCTACCGGGACTCAAAGTTGACGCGGCTGCTACAGGACTCACTGGGCGGCAACACCAAGACGCTGATGGTGGCCTGTCTGTCACCGGCTGACAACAACTATGATGAGACGCTCAGCACGCTGCGTTATGCCAACCGAGCCACAAACATCAAGAACAAGCCACGCATTAACGAGGACCCCAAAGACGCCCTCCTGCGCAAGTACCAGGAGGAGATCAAGAAGCTCAAGGCGATTCTGGCCCAGCAGATGAGCCCCAGCAAGCTGTCAGGTGGGACTGCTGGGGGAAGGATGGCGGGGGTCCAGGGGCCCAGGAGAAAGGCTCTCTCCCTTTGCCTTGCTGCCTCTGGCTTCGCATCTGAGAGACGTGGAAGCAATGCCCCACCTCTCCCAACTTCACAGGAGCATAGCTTTTGGACAGTCAGGGAGAGCCCGGGTCGGGGCTGGCCAGGTGCTGTGTGCTCGCTGATGGCCCCAGCCACCGTGGGTCTGTCTGGTCTGTCCCAGCTGCTGCAGGCTCCGCTGCCCGCTCCCCGCCTCCAGGCTGCGCGTAGTCATCCTGCCTGTCTGCCTGCCTTCTCTGTGGTAGCATCGTGATGCTCTGCTGCTTAGCAGCTGGGTGACTCACTCCCCCATGTCCCACCCCCACTTGCAATTAGGAACCTTGTGATGGCAGTTCTCACACCCAGGCGTTCGTTACCCGAAGCAGAGGCCTGCAGGGTCCTTGCGACTGAGGGACTCCAGAGTGTTCTTTACCTGAGAAGCCCTTGGGGAGGGGAACACAATAGAGGCTGAGTCCACCTGTTCATTCATCCACCTCCCTTCTCACCTTCCTCTCTATCCATCCATTTTCTGCACCCATTCATCTAACTCATCCCCCATCAACTCATCCACTGATCCATCCACTCACCCACCCACCCACCCATCCACCCAGAGTTCACTGAACAGCCCTGTGTATGTAGACCTGTGCTGGGCACGGGGACACAGAGATGGACCAGATCCAGGCTCTGCCTCATGGGTACACCATCTCCTGGGGCAGAAGGGCACTCGAGCAGACCATCGTGTGCATTCAGGGCAGCAAGCTGTACGGGCACCGTGGACAGAAGGGAGCACATGGTTGGGTCTGTCTGCCGGTAGGTGAGGTCAGTCAGGGAAGGCTTCACGGAGGAGGCGTGATTGAGCAGAGTCTTAGGGGGTAAGTCCCCCAGTTAGGATGAGAGTGACCAGTATATGCAAAGATGTACTAGTGATGCAGTGCATTTGGGGAAGCATGGGTAGTCCTGGGGCTGCCTGGGGAGAGGCAGCCGGGGCAGGGGGCCAGGAGCTGGGGTGGAGAGGCCTTGACCAGCACAACAAGGGGTTCCACTTTGCCAATCTGCCCTCCCCCTCTTTCCTTGCTTCCCCACCCCTGACCCCGCTCACCCCCAGGATCGGCAAGGGGCGGCTAGACAGAGGATGGTAAGAGCTACCAGGAGGGAGCTGGGGAGACTCTGCCCCAGGCTTCCTGGACCCCGCAGCCGACACTGGGGCCGCCTCCTAGCGGTAACTGCGGCAGCCCTGCAGGGTAGGGGCTGTGGATGTACTCGCCTCCTGGATTTGAAGCCTGTGGCTCAGCAAAATGAAATGGCCAGGGCAGGTCAGGGAGCTGAGCAGGAATAGCCAGTTCACATCCTGGCTCCTTGGGCAAGTGACAGCCCCTCTGAGCCTGTTTCCTCATCTGTGAATGAAGGTAATGGCCACACCTGCCCTGTCCTGGGGCAGCTGGGAGGACTGCATGGGGCCATTCACATGTGGGCTTAGCCCAGGGCCTGGCACGTAATGCTCAATAGGCAGCACGTGATGCCTGACCTTACAGTTGGGCCTTGGGACCAGGTGTATCTGACTTCAAGCTCCATGCACCCCCCGACCCCACGCTTCCTGTCAGCATTGCCCGCTCAGCCCAGGGTCTGCCATTGGTTGCTAGTGGGCACATTTCTCTCTCCTGCTTTTAGCAAAACTTGAAACACTTCTCTGTTGGCACTGGCCCCAGTCTCTCTCCCTCGGCTCTGTCTTGCCCCTTGTCCAGGCAGGCCCTGCGCCCCATCCTGCTGAGGCTGCCCCCGATCAGGGATGCCCCCCTATCATTCACCCAGCGACTGTTCCCCAGCAGGCCCCACCTGTCCTCTCAGCACCAGGTGACTCAGCTGACCTCCCCCTTCTCCTGGAACCTCACTTCCCGGACACCCTCTGTCCTGGTTCTCCCCCTGCCTCACTGGCTGCTCTTCTCAGCCCCCTTGCAAGAGGCCTCTCTGCCCCCCTACCCATCCCTGTGATGGGCTACCCGGGCTGGGTCCCCTATCTTCTCCCTACTCTCTCTGTGGAGGTAGCTCCATCTGGTTTGAGCACCATCTCTGTGTTCACGACTCCCATGTGGACCTCCAGCCTGGCCGTGTGTTCTGGGTCCTTCCCTGGCCCTGCCAGAACTCTCCACTGCCCAGTTTACCCGAGTCAAAGCTAAAGCCTTCAGCTCAGCCTCCAGGGTCCCTGCGATCTGTCTGTTGCCTCTCTGAACTCCTCTTTGCTCTTTCTCCCTCTTACTCATTCTGCTGCAGCCACATTGGCCTCCTTGCTGTTCCGGGAACAGTCCAGGCCCATGCCAGCCACAGGGCCTTTGAACCCACTGCTCCCTTCTGTCTGGAGAGCTCTTCCCCAGGGTCTCCACCCACCTCTTCCCCTCACTTCCATCCAATCACTGCTTTCATGTTACCTTGTGTGGAGGTGTTTCCTGAGCATACTAGTTAAATTGCAACCTTTCTCCTGTTCTTGCTTCTGAGCACCCTCCTGCTTTCTTTCTCTTAGTGTATCACCTTAGAACATGTTACGCATTTTGCTTATTTGTTTTGTTTGCCTTTCTCCCCAATTGAAAACTCAATCTGGGTGGGGAGTTTTGTCTGTTTGGTTCCATGCAGCATCCCCAGTGCCTAGAGCATGTGGGTGTTCAAGGAATACTTGTTGAATGGCTGAGTAAATAAGCGCTTTGCATAGTGATGTTTGAAATAAATTCAATACTCCAAAGTCAGTTTTTGAATGAGTACATATGTGTTTTTTTTATGGATTTCTGTTTAGCTCCTGCAAACTGTGTGTGCCTTGGTCACAGCCTCTCCTTTTGGTTTTTCTCCCAGCCCTGCTATCCAGTCGGGATCCCCCAAGCCCTGCCCAGGTTGAGGAGAAGCTGCTGCCCCCACCTGTGATCCAGCATGACACAGAGGCTGAGAAGCAGCTGATCCGGGAGGTGAGGCTCCGAGCAGGTGGGAGAGAGGCCCCGGCAGAGGCATCATTTCTCCCCCCATCACTTTGGGGCTGGTCCTGGTACAGCCTTCCTGAGGATCTCAGAAAGCCAAAGCTCAGAGAGGCACCATGACTTGCCTGAGGCCACACAGCTAAGAGTCTGAGCTGGGATTTGCACTCGGCTTCCTGAGTCCAGAGAGCAGTCTGTCCCACATCAGTGCCTGCATGGGGAGAACTGAGGGGGGCTGTGGGGGCATCTGCAGGGGCGCCATCTCAGGACTGCAGGACGGGAGGCTGAGGGTTGGTGGAAGTAGAGACGGCATTCTTGGCAGTGGGCATGGCCTGTGCCCGGGCGAGGAGGTCTGAGTGGAAGGAGTCCCCTCAAGGTGCCACCAAACCAGGGGCTGAAAGCAGAGCAGCCTGGGCTGCAGTGGGGAGTCTCTAGGCAGCCTTTTGGCCAGTGGACCAGTGGGGTATTGGAAAGAAAAAAGATGTCACTGGGGGATACCCGGGTCTTCCTCCCATGTACATGCCTCCCAGCATCTCTGGGGACAAGCAGGACAGGTGACACCCTCACTTACTGATGCCGAGCTGATCCCCAGAGCAGGGCTTGCACAGTCAGACACAGCAGGGCCTCCTAATTCCTGGCTTAGGCTCTGTCCCCGACTCTGAGCTCTGTTGGTTTCTGGAGCTTCCTGACATTTGAAGGCCACGTTCTGAGACCTGAGCGTGCACAGGTGTGTGTGTGGTTTCATTCAGTCCCTTTAGTTCATGGGCTCTTTCCCAGTGGAGAAGTACTGCTCCGCAGGGACTGAGGCCTGGACTTTTCTGCAGCTGGGCCTCGGCCACTCAACTATGACTCAGGTGGCATCAGCCCTGGGGGTTATAAGCAGGGCACCCCTGTCTCCTAGTGCATCAGGCTGGGAGGGCCTGCAGCCCAGCCTCTTGGGGGCAACCAGGAAAGGCCTGGTCTCAGTCCTGTGGACTGGTGGGCTTGGAGAGGTCAACCAACCAGTCTCCAAGGGCTTCCTGTGACAGGCAATAGCTTTTATTGCCTGGGAAGAGGCTCAGCTGGGGCCCAAGATGGACCCCTCCTGGCCCCAGGAAGGTTCTGGGAGCTCAGCTGCTCACTTCGCCTTTTCCCCTGCTGGTCTGGGAGCTCCTTGGCCAGGACTGGGCATCGGGTTCATCTCTGGAGCCCTGGGTCTGGCTCCTGGGGAGGTATTAGGAGGAGCAGCTTTTGGGATGGCTGAGCATAAGCTCACAGAATGAGAGAAGTCACGCTTTGGCAGCTCAGAGTGGGTTTTGGAATCACGTAGTGACAGGTGGATGTTTGTCACAAAACAACGGGTGGGGAGAGTTGGCTAGGGGCTGGCTGGGATGGGAGCTTTCTCCCTGGGGGGCCCAGTCGGGCGGGCGGGTGCCTGGCTGTCAGATAAGCAGAGTGCTGCCGCCCCCTAGTGGTCACCAGAGAGAAGAGCCCGTTCTGGGCTGGCTGCTCCTCATAGGTGGGGATGGAGGATCCTCCTGCTGGGTCGGGGGTCAGCCACCTCCTCCTCCTGGGGCAGCCTAGTGACACTACAGCAGAGCACTGCCACCTGAGGCTGCCACCAAGTGTGTTTTCTGGCCCTGGAGTTTCTTCTGTGAGCCACATGTGGAGGAAGAGTAGAGGGTGTCTCTGCCCTGCCTTCTTTTATTCCCTCCCCCCTTTCACTTATGACCTGTTTATTGAGCACTTGCTATGTAGGTGTGCTGCCCTTTCCACCCCAAAACCAGTCAGGATGCCAAGGGGGGTGGCCCCTGTGTGGCATGGTGAGGTCACCAGGCTAGGAATCAGCACGGCCCTGAGGTGGAGGTGTGACCCTTTGGTCTTCAGTCTATTAGCTGTACTGAAGGGATTTGGACTAGAAGATTCCTAGGGTTCTGAGTAAGTCTTGGAACCCCATGCAAGTGTTGCCCTGAGGCTTAAATGCATCTCAAATGTGCTGCAAAATGCACAGTTATGTTGAAGGACCTCTGTCCCCTTCTCTCCCTCCCCGAGAGTCCAGGGCTTGTTGTCTGTGCCAGCTCTGGACTCCCTGAAGGGACCCGGTGAGGGGGGGCATGGTAGGCCCTCCCACCACCTGTACCCTGGCCCACCTGCTGGCCCACCTGCTGGCCTACCACAGCTGCAGGCCCCTGTGGCAGGAGCCGCTTCAAAAAGCGGAAGGTCACAGACTATCAGCTCATAAACGGGGGATTCACCACAGGAGCCAGGGGAGGCTGCGCGACCCCGCAGCCTGGCTTTTCCGCCTCACCCAGTTGCTGGGTCAGGGGCTGTTCACCCAGCCCCTCCTCTGTGCTAGGCCCCGAGGCTGCGAGCTAGGCGGGCTTGCTCCCCAGCCAGAGCCAGAGGATAAGCCCACAGTCAGGTGAATGATTGGGGCTTATAATCTGTGTTGAAGAGAACTGGGCAAAGGGACAGAATGGTGGCAGGGACCTTCCAAGAGCATGGTCCGGGAGGCCTTTTAGTGATGCAGCAGGTGTCACTATGCTGAGGCCTGAGGGGAAGGGCTTGCCAGGGAGCAGGGCCAAGGCCCTGGGGCAGGGTGGAATAGGAGGGTCTGGTAGTGGGAAGTGGCCCATGTGCCCAAACGTGGCAAAAATGAGGTCTGGCCAAGGGGTGGGCAGTCCAGACCACTGGGCCCTTGAGGCCACGTCGGGGAGCTTAGATTTTACCCTTGCACACGGGAAGCTGTTGCAACATAATCTAATGGCTGCACAGCTGCCGTGTGGAGAAGGGCTTGGAGTGGAAGCGGGAGTGGAGGCGCGAGGCCAGGTGGCCACTCTCCTGCCAAGAGCTGGCGGAGGTGGCGAAGGTGGAGAGGGCACAGATGAATGAAAATGTATTTTGTTGTTGATAAGTTGAGGATCGTGTAGTTAGAACAATTTGTTGATGTGCAAAGGTGTTCATGATATATGGGTTTGGGTAAAATATAGACTGCAAACAAATACATTTATTATTAGCCCATTAAAACACAGAGGAGAGTTCAGAAGGGTCTTCACCAGCCAGTATCCCAGTTAGTTTTATTCTTTTCTGGCTTATTTTCTTTTCTGTAATGCGGGACGCTGTGTTTGGCAGTGGAGATAAAACACTGCCCCTCTGTCCCCTGCACTCCCCGCCACCTCTCCCAGGAGTGCGAAGAGCGCCCGGCGCGGCTGAGGGCTGACTACCGGGCAGAGCAGGAGCCCAGGGCCCGGCTGGAGGAGGACGTCGCTGCCATGCGCAGCTCGCATGACGTGAAGCTGCCCACGCTGGAGGCGAACCTGTGCAAGGAGTCAGGCGAGTGCCCACCCTGGGCTGTCAGGAGGGAGGCCAGCCTGCTGTCCCTTCATTTGACAAACTGTCATTTAGAAAGCACTTTCTACACACCAGGCTCAGTTTTATTTACCCGTTACCAAAGCCCAGCAAAGTAGGAACCACAATTACACTAATTTTATAGATGAGGAAGCTGAGGCACAGAGCCAGTAACTTGCCTGCAGTCACAGAGCTGGTTAAGTGGAGGCTGGATTTGAACCCAGGGTCTGATCCCAGAGCCAGCGTTTTCACCCACAGCACTGCATTGCGGTGTCACGGCCACAGGCAGGGCACCAGCCCCGACTGACTTAGTGTTATAACACATCGCCCTTGTTTTCTGGGTTAGTCCCTTTCCTGAGTTTCTGCATTTTCTACAGTCTCCTCTCATTTTTGAGTACATCTGTTTTCTGTGGACTGGAGGATGAATTGAAAACAATTTTATCCCCAAATAAGCATTCAATCATTAGCAAGAACTTTTACCTTTCTGGAAATTTTTGTTTTCTTTTGGACATTCTAGAATGTTCCATTCCACCACTAGCATTCAAATACCCATACCGCCAGGCAGCTCACACTTCCTAGTACTCACCCAAATATTGTAAAGTCCATCTTGTAATGACAGCCATATGGGTCTCATCTTCAGAACCATTTATTGGGCATTGCTGTGCCAGGCACTGGGGAGGTGCTTCACCCGAACTCCCTCCGTGAGTTAGTACTCACTGAACCCTCACACTGCAAGTGTGCAAACTGGGTCTTGGAGAGTTTCAGGCCACCACCCCCAGGCAGGGGATGTCCTCTGTCAGCAAAAGGACATCAGGGCTCTTTTGGGGAGCTCAGGACACAAGTGACAAAGAAATGGGCGGGCTGTAAAGAGGGTGGTTTCATGCCGGTGAGCTGAGTGCTGAAGGAGGTCTATGTGATTGTAGTTCTGTCCGTGCCGGCAGGAGGGTGCTGCTCATGGTATAGGCCGAAGGAAAAGGGGAAGGGCAGGTTCTAGCATTTTCTGTCCTTAAGAGTGTTTCTTCAGTCCAATTTGAATATTAGGCCTCTGAGTGATTTTATTTGGTCTCTCTAACATTCATCCACAGCGTTCACTTAACTCCCATGGCTCTAACCCATCCTGTGAACAACAGCCCTGAGCTGGGCACCCCAGCAGGGGTCCCTTAGGGTCTCAGGTATAAAATCTGCTGATCTGGAGCTCTGAGCCTCAGAGGCGGTCAGACCCACAGAGCGGTCAGCTTATGTGTTAGGAGCAGTCCCTGGCAGGGTGGTAAGAGCCCAGCAGTAATGGCTTGGGAGGTCAGAGAATGGGAGATCATGGTGCTGGTCAGGGAAGACTTCCTGGAAGAGGTGGAAGGAGACAGGGTTTGCATTTTCATGGGGGAGAGGGCAATAGGGCAGAGAAGGGGAGCCACTGTTTGGGGACTGGGAGGCTTTGATTCTGAGGCTGGTCTTGTGGAGATGGTGGGCTTGGGGCCCACTTTCAGGGAAGGGTTCCTTACTCTCACCTGTAAAAAGCTAAAGAAAGGTCTCCATCTGCAGACGCTGTGCTGAAGGCAGAAGTTCTCTACAAGGCTGGAGTCCTGGCCAGGGCTGAGTCTGCCGACAGCTCTGAGTGCTCAAATACTTTGGCTGTGGAGCCCAAGATCTACTTCATGCCCGACACTCTGCCTGCCGAGGCTGTCTCCAGGACGGAGGTTTCCTCTGGGTTTGAGGACCTGCCCAACACGGAGATCTGCAGGTCTGAGGCTTCTGTGGGGTCTGACGCATCTTCTGCACCCAAAGAAGCCTTCACGCCTGAGTCATTCCCTGGGCCCGAGGAGCCCACCATCCTGGAGTTCTCCGTGCCCGCCGTGGAGGACACGAACAAACACTTCCTGAATAAGTGTCTCAGCCACGGGGGGGCAGAGCCGCTGCTGGATGGGGAGCCCTTCCTTCAGGAAGGGGAGCCACAGCTGATGCCCCTGGAGCTGCTACCAGGCCTGCATGACCCATTTCCCGAAGTGGAAGCCAGGCTGGCCAGACCTCCCTGCACTGTGGCTAGAGCAGCCGTGCCCTCGGAGGACATACCCCAGGTACCTGTGCAGGTAGCTGCTGTCAGGGAGGAGTTCAGCAGGCAGAGCTTGGCTGGGGTGCAGAGGTCACTGAGCTCACACAGACATCTGACCTCCGTCGCTCCGGCTCTGCCCCCACCATCTCTGGGGTGGCTCTGGCTTGGTGGCTGGCTCAGGGGCGCTAGTGTTTGGGGATCTGGGACGGAGGAGCTCTGTCTAACACTGTAAATCCATAGGCAAGTTGGGATTGACATATGAGCTCTGCCAGGTGGGCTGTGCCGCCTGTTCCGTCGACAGAGGGACACCTGTGTGGGCAGCTTGCTGGGATGCCGTGGTCACCCTGAGCTTCCAGCCCTGAAGGAGCCGGAGGAGGCCTTGGTCCGCCCTCACGCTCTTGCAGGCTCAGAGCAGCGAGCTGTGAAGGGCTTCTGCAGGAACCCGGCTACCTTCAAGGGGCCCCCTGGGGATCCTGCCCCTTTGCCCAGTGTCTTTTCCCTTTGCAACCCTCTTTTTTTATGTTTTAGAAGTTTTTTCCTCTATTCTCTCCTTTGTTTTTTTTCCTTTCCTTGTGTGTGTGTGTGTAAAGAGCACACCTTTGAATCAGACAGACCTGGGTTCAAATCCCAGCTCTACCACCCACTCTGTGTGAACTTGTGCAGGTCACACCTTTGTGGGCCTGTAAAATGAGTTTGCTGCTGTGCGCTTCACATGAGGTAACGCAGGTCCTCGAACTAGCAGGTGCTTGGAGAGTGCCCCTGTCCCCCACACCTGCTCTTCCCTGTTCTCTCTCCTGGGTCTTCAGCCCTCCTTCCCCCACCTCCTCTGGGGGTGGGGGGGGCAGCCCTAGGCAGACGGGCAGGAGGAGGGGTGGAGTTTGTGAGCTGGTGGGGAGCTGAAGGGGAGTCCCCGGGAGCAGACCTTCGGACCCACCCATCCCGCCTCTGCCCCCACCTCTCCTCCTTTAGCGCCCCTCCCTGACTGACGCACTTATGCCCAGTGCCCACAGGGGGGAGCTGAGGCAGCCTGCGACCTGCTGCCCAGGACTGAGAGTCCCTCCCTGGGCCAGGCCCTCTGTGCGGTGGGAGGAGCGCCCAGGGCTTGGTTCTTCCTGCGACTCTCTGGCTTGTCTCCTCGCTGCCTGGGCCTCAGTTTTCTCACCCGTGAAACAGGGACAACCCCAGCCCTCCCCCAGCTCTCAGGGACGGCCCGTCGTGAAGCAGTGTGCCAGTTGAGGACCTGTTAGACCTCTTATTATTGATGTTAATAGGAGGCCTATTGATGTTAATAGGCAGACCCTGAGGCATGGCAGGGCAGGAAGGAGCTATTCTAGCAGCAGCTGTCAAACTGCCCTCAGTTCGGAACCCTCGTCTAAAGCACAGAGGCCCAGTGTGCGCCGTGGGTGCGGGCTGCAGGGCAGGGGCTGGGGGCTCGGAGGCGCTGGCAGGGGACCCAGCCGGAGCCCATTCTGAGCACTGCTGCTCTCAGACCCCAGCCTTTTCTCTTCTTCTTAAGAAAGCCCAACAGGCTCCAGGGAATGAGAGGATAGCTTTCAATCTACGCGAATGTATGGAGAGAGATAATGACCTGCTCGCCTCCGGACTCGATCACTGGGTAGGAGCTGGTACACTGCGGGTTCTCACTAGATGGTAGATGGAGTGTCCAGGAGAGCCCTGGCTGTAAGATGACATTGAGAGGGGACGCAAGTAGGCAGAAAGGGCCAGGGCAGAGCACCAAGCAGGGGACAGCAAGTGCTAAAGCCCTGTGGCTAGGAAGACCTTGACTTTCTCAGCAACAGAAAATGGAGCAGCAAGGGGAATGGGACGGTGGAGGGGGCAGCAGGTGCAAGGGTGTGCAGGTCATGGAAAAAACTGATTTTACTGCAGTTGAGATGGGAATTCATGAAGGGTTCTAATCAGGAAAGGGCTATGATCAATTTATATTTTAAGAAAATTGCCCTGGGCATATGGAGCCTGGATTATGAAGGAGGAGTTACTGGGAGACCATCTGGGGGGTGTTGGTGGAAACAGTAGCAGCAAGAACTTGATTGGGTGCATTTTTGTATAACTGGGTGTCTCTGTCCCAGGCTATTAGGGGCCCAGACGCCCCATCTGGAATTGGAGCCACTGGGAGCGCACGTCCAGGGGCTGCCCTCCCTGCCTCCACCTTTTTGTTTCTCTTTGTGCTCAGGAGGCTGACCAGGGCCCAGAAGTGGCCAAGGAGGTGGAGTTGGCTGCAGAGCCTAGAGTGGGGGCCAAGGTTGCCGCCCAGGTGGCCTTGGGGGCTCAGCTTCAGCTGCCGCTGGCCACAAGCAGTGTGAGAAGGGCCAGTGTGGGCACGGAGACAGCATCTCTGACCAACCACCTGCTGCCTGCTGTGGACCAGCAGCAGGTGCTTGCGCGGTAAGTGCTGGAGCTTGGGGCTGCCAGGCGAGGGGTGCGGGTGCCCGTAGATTCCTCACAGAGCCCTCCCGGAGCCCTGGCTCCTGAGGGAGGCGGCTGAGCAGGCCTGACCCTCCAGGAGCAGCGGGGCGGGTGGGTGCTGGGGTGGGCCGACAGGCAAGCTCTGCCCTGGGAGCTGCGCAGATGCCATCAGCGTCCACCAGGCGCTGCTGGCGAGCAGCTGGGCTGGGAGAAGGTGCGGCAACTGTTGCATGCCTGGGTTTCCACGGGCCGGAGGAATACCAGGGAGGCCGACACAGGCTGTCTCAGCTCCAGGGTAGCCTGCCGTGCCCTCGCTGAGGTAAGACTTGCTCTCCCTAGGGACAGGCCCCCACTACACGCACCCTCTGGGGCCCCTCGGGAGCTGGGCTCTCCTTGCCTTGAGCAAGTCCCTTCACATTTCTGAGTGTTGGTTCCCTCTTCTGTGAATGAGAATAATGTCAGGCCCACCATGACGATGTCAGGCCTAAGGCCACAGGGCAACGTCAGGGCCACCGTCCACCAGTCAGACAGAAACTGAGCAGCTGCTGCGTGCCTGGCACAAGGATATAAGGGTGAATGAGATGCCACCTTGACCCTAGAAGTTCACGGTTCAGGGGGAGTTAGACACACAAGGCCCGGGGCAGGCCAGGTTCTGGAGCCATGAGTGGTGAGTGGGCTGTGCAGTGGCCGCCTGTGCTCCTGTCACCTCCACCACTACCCGGCTCGACAGCCTCCCTGCGCCTTACTTCTCAGCTGCTCAGTGCCAATCCTAAGAGCTGCACCTGAGAAGCTTGTGAGGGTCACATGAGACGGTGCCTGCGGGAGTGGCAGCCCAGCACCAGGCACAGGGAACACTCTCGGCACATGTGGCATTTTTCAGGATGTGGCCTGAAGTGTGGTCAGGGAAGGCTTCCCAGAAGATGGGAAACCTGTATAAGATCTGCATGACAGATGCCACAGGGGTGGCATTCGAGATTCAGGGCACAGCTAAGGTGGCACAGAAGCACAGAGTGGGGGACAGCCTGGGTGCTTGGAGGAGCATGAGCCGCAGGTTGAAGCTGGCGTGAGTGAGGGCTGGTGGGGTAAGAGGGAGATGAGGTGGAGGGGCCCTGCGTGCCCCTGGAGGCGTGGGCTCCATCCCGCGGGACCCTACAAGGGCTTGAAGCAGGGCAGTGACTTGGACATGGCCTCCCTCCACCCCGGCTGCTCCCCCACCCCTGCTGTCCCCCATTCATGCTGCCCCCTGCGCTGGCTGTCCCCCTCTGTCCCGGCTGTACACCTACCCTGGCTGCCCTCCTATCCTGCCTGCCCCCTACCTAAGCTTTCCCCCTGAGCTGTCCCCTCTCCCCAGCTCCCCCTGCCCCCCCATTCCCTATGTGTCCCCTGTCCCAGCTGCCATCAAGCTGAGCCTGAGGAGGCTGCTCGGTGTGCACTGACCTCCTTCCCCTGAGCATGATCTCTTGTTCGCTGTATGAACGAACCCTGTAAGGTCCCTGTAACCCCATTACATCCCTTTGAAAAAGGCAGAGGCTAAAACACCTTCGTGATGCTTTATCAGACAGTGAGGAGTTCCACATAAGCCTTTCTTTGTAGTTATTTAAAATGTGTGCCTTTAAAGGCCAAAACCCTAAACATTTTTGAGCATTTTAGAAATAAACAGTTAAAACTTTTTATAGTACACACCGCAGATTAAACACTGCACCCTAAAGGTGCTGAGCACTGCTCCAGGCAGGGCCCGTCTGAGCATGCGGTTGCCTGGGCGACCAGGAGCCCCGGGGGCTGGTTGAGTGGCTCTGGGTCCACCGGGAATACAATCTCGCCTTTCCTGCTGGGCGGTTGAGTGCCCGGCCTTGGAGTTAGGGAGATGGGCAGGAAACCGGGTTCTGACCCTGAGCCAGTGGCGTCGCCTCTCTGCGCCTCAGTTTAGGCCTCTGGGAAGTGGGGTGGTCGGAACCCCTCCACGAGCTCCACCGGGCAACAGGTGCTCCGGGGCGCGCGGGTGGTGCCATGTGTGCCTCCTCCCCCTCCTGGTAGTCTGCAGCTCTTGGAGCAGCAGGTGGTCGGCGGGGAGCAGGCCAAGAACAAGGACCTGAAGGAGAAGCGCAAGCGGAGGAAGCGGTTCGCGGACGAGCGCACGAAGCAGCTGGCTGCGGCCCTGCGAAGCGCGGACGAGGACGGCGGGGACTGGGTGCTGCTGCGCGTCTACGACTCCATCCAGGAGGAAGTGAGGGCCAAGGGCAGGCTGCTGGAGAAGGTGCAGAGGAAGGTGAGGCCCTCGCGGGCGCGCCGCCGCGCCCCTCCCGCGCCCAGGCGGCGCTGGCGGGCGGAACCCCCAGCAGGCGCTGGGCGGGCAGGTGTGCCTGCTGTCCTCCAGCCTGGGCTCCCGCGGGTCGTGTGCGTGAGAAACAGCACAGCGGAGGAATTAGCAAGAGAGCGCCCGGCAGTGATGGTGCCATGGAGACCAGACCCGGGCAGGGTGGCTTTACTTTTACTTTTGCATCCTTATTGAAGTAGAGATGCACAGATCACAAATGCACAGCTTAGTTCATTTCCACCAAGCGAACGCACGCATGAAACCGGCACCCCCATGAGGAACTAACTGAGCACTGACAGAACCCCAGCAGCCCCTGGGGCCACCTTTGTTGGGGGACAGGGAGGCGCTCATGCAGGCGGTGACTTTTTTCTGAAAGATAAGAAAGAGGGGAACGTGCGCTCAGCTGAACGAAGAGCGTGCCAGGCCAAGAGGGGCTGGCGCCCAAGGTGAGGCCTGTGGTTCCAGAAACGGGAGGGAGGCGCAGGTGCCCGCTGGGTGGGGGTGAGGGGGGCGGGGCAGGCGGGCGCCGAGGGCTCTGCTCCTCACCCGCAGGGTCCCGCTGCTCGCCCTCGCCCACCTCTGGCAGGCAAAGGATCTTCACAATGCAAAAGCCGACACTTTTTTTTTCCTCTTTAAATCTTTTTAGTTTTTAACTTCCTGGCTATTTTCATGCCTTGCCCTAATATCCCTTGTTACGTTTTCAGTCGAATTTGTGCTTCCTTGGATATGTTGTGATTTGGTCTAACCCATCAACGTATAAAAACACTTCTTTCCTGAGTTTGGTTCATGTACCATTTTAATTCTTCATTGTGGGCCATTCCCACCTTAAGGTTTTGGATGTCTGATTTGAAATTTCATACGTGGGACTGCTTGTTTAAGGAAAATTTATTCCCGGGCTGTTAGGTGACATCTTTCGTGTGGTTCTGCGGTCTTGCGCTTTGGCGGGTAGGGTTTTCTTCTGCTGAGGTGTTTTGATTTCCATCTTTTGTTTCTTACAAAAACTTTGATTAGATACATCTGCTCTTTTCTGCTTATTTCACGGTGTCTTGTTTTTCTGCACCTTCATTTACAGTTGAGCATAGACTCCTAGGTGTCTTCAGTAATAGCACCTGTTTTAAACTTCAGCAGTGCAGTTTTAAAGAGAGCTCTTCATTAATCTCCTGTTGCTGTAACACACTGCCACATATGTAGTTACCTAAAATAACACCAACTTATTATCTCACAATCCTGTAGGTCAAAATATGGCTACAGTGGGGCTGGTTCCTCTGCTTAGGATTCCACAGGGCTAAAGCCAAGGTGTGGGCAGGTCTGCATTTCCTTCTGAAGGTTTTGGGGGAGAATCCATTTCCAGGCTCATGCGGGTTGTTGACAGCATTTAGTCCTATGTGGTTGTAGGACTAAAGTTGCCATTTCCTTGCTGGCAAGTGTGTGTGTGCGTGTGTGTGTGTGTGTGTGTGTGTGTGCGCGTGTGCGCGTGTGCGTGTATGTGCGCGCGTGTGTGTGTGCGTGTGCGCGTGTATGTGCGCGCGTGTGTGTGTGCGTGTGCTCGTGTGCGTGTGTGCGCGCGCGTGTGTGCGTGTGTGTGTGTGCATCCCCTTCCCTCTGCATACATATCCTCCCCCTCATCAGATAAAATAGCTACAAACACACTTTCCTCTACGTAGCTTTTTCACATAACAATTAATCTTGAGGGTCAGTATCTAGGAATATTCTTCATTCCTTTTTACTGTTATACGGTACTTACTCCATTGTGAGGTTGTATCATTGTTGTCAGTCCTCTCACGATGGCACATTTGGGTTTCCAATATTTTGCTACGCTGACTGCTATAGTGAATAATCTGTGCATACTACTTTTGAATTTTGAATAAGTTTCTTTGGAATCAGTTCCTCTAACTGGGACAGCTGGGACAAAGAGTAAATGCATCTCTGATTTCGCTACATATTGCCAGCTTCCCCTGCATGGGGGCTGTATTCTTTTGAATTTCCACTAGCACATATGTGTTTCTTCACAGCCTGACCAACAAGGTATAATGAAAAGAGTTTGAGTTTGTGCCATTCTGATCAATAAGTAGTACCTCAGTGCAGTTTTTTTTATTAAGGTATCATTGATATACACTCTTATGAAGGTTTCACAAGAAAAACAATGTGGTTATTACATTCACCCTTATTATTGAGTCCCCCTGCCATACCCCATTGCAGTCACTGTCCGTCAGTGTAGTAAGATGCACAGAGTCCCTATTTGTCTTCTCTGAGTTACACTGTCTTCTCTGTGACCCCCCACACACCATGTGGACCAATCATGATACCCCACAATCCCCTTCTCCCTCCCTCCGCACCCACCCTCTCCCACCCCTCCCCTTTGGTAACCACTAATCCCTTCTTGGAGTCTGTGAGTCTGCTACTATTTTGTTCCTTCAGTTTTGCTTCGTTATTCTCCACAAATGAGGGAAATCATTTGTTATTTGTCTTTCTCTGCCTGACTTATTTCACTGAGCATAATACCCTCCAGCTCCATCCATGTTGTTGCAAATGGTAGGATTTGTTTTTTCTTAAGCCTGAATAATATTGCATTGTGTATATGTACCACATCTTCTTTATCCATTCATCTACTGATGGACACGTAGGTTGCTTCTGTATCTTGGCTATTGTAAATAGTGCCGCAATAAACATAGGGGTGCATATGTCTTTTTGAATCCAGTATCTTCTTTTCTTTGGGTAAATTCCTAGGAGTATAATTCCTGGGTCAAATGGTATAATGGTATTTCTATTTTTAGTTTTTTGAGGAACCTCCATACTGCTTTCCACAATGGTTGAACTAGTTTACATTCCTGCCAGCAGTGTAGGAGGTTCCCCTTTCTCTGCATCCTCGCCAGCATTTGTTGTTCTTAGTCTTCTCGTTGCTGGCCATCCTAACTGGTGTGAGGTGATATTTCATTGTGGTCTTAATTTGAATTTTCCTGATAATTAGTGATGTGGAGCATCTTTTCATGTGCCTGTTGGCCATCTGAATTTCTTCTTTGGAGAAGTGTCTGTTCATATCCTCCGCCCATTTTTTAATAGGGTTATTTTCTTTTTGGGTGTTGAGGCATGTGAGTTCTTTATATATTTTGGATGTTAACACCTTGTCGGATATGTCATTTACAAATATATTCTCCCATACTGTAGGATGCCTTTTTGTTCTACTGATGGTGTCCTTTGCTGTACAGAAGCTTTTTAGCTTGATGTAGTTCCATTTGTTCATTTTTTATTTTGTTTCCCTTGCCCGAGGAGATGCATTCAAGAAAAAGTTGCTCATGTTTATCTTCAAGAGATTTTTGCCTAAGTTTTCTTCTAAGAGTTTTATGGTTTCATGACTTACATTCAGGTCTTTGATCCATTTTGAGTTTACTTTTGCGTGTGGGATTAGACAATAATCCAGTTTCATTCTCCTGCATGTAGCTGTCCAGTTTTGCCAACACCAGCTCAGTGCAGTTTTAATTAGCATTTTTTTCATATGTTTTAGGGACATTTGTAGTTTTTTTTTCTTTGACATTTGTTCACATCTTTTGCCCACTTTTCTATTAGATGGTACTTCTTTTTCTTCTCTACTTCTGGAAGCTCTTTATATCAGTATTATAATTCACATTAGGAATACTAACTCTTGGCCTGTGATATATGTTGTAATATTTTTTCCCAGTTTCATTTATCTTTTTACTATGCTTTATGGTATTGTCGCCAGGCAAAAATAAATTTTTATTTTATTAAATTGATCAACACTATTATTACTGCAGATAGATTCTGAGCCACAGTTGGGAAAGTTCAGTTAGGTTTTCTTCTAGAATTTGTATGGTTTTTTTTTTAACATTTAAATCTTTGATCCACTTGGAATTTGTCCTTGTGCATGTGTGAGATGCTGATTGAATATTATCTGTTCTACATGCTCTCTCTGTTTCCCAGCACCAATTTTTTGAAAAATCTGTCCTACCGTAGTAGGTATACCAGTGAGGTCCTACCTTAGTTGCATGCCAGTTTTCTATAAGCATATAGATGTATTTCTAGATTTTCTATTCATTTCTCTTACTCTGCCTATTCACACACCAGTGCCAGGCACATATTTAAAATTCAGAGGCTTTATAACACATTCTGAAATATCATAGCGCTAACCCTCTCTCGGTGATTTTCTTTTTTGGTTATTCCTGGATGTTCCTTTTTTTCCCCCCCAAATGAACTTTGTAAGCAGTTGGTCTAGCTCAAAAGAAGAAAAAAAGAGAAGGAAAGAAAACATTGATGGAACTGTTTGGGGAGTCATGTTATATTTATAAATTAGCTCAGGAGTATTGATGCCTTTATGAGGTTGGATTATCCTGGCCAGGAACATGGTATATCTTCTATTAGTTCAAATCAATTTTTATGTCATTCAAGAGTGTCTTATAAATTTCCTTATGTAGATCTTGGACATATTTTGTTAATTTTACATCTAGGTATTTTATTTTATTTGCTTTCCTCTATGGGGTATTTTCTTCCATCATATCTTCTAATTGGATTTTATTTGTGAAATGAAGACTATTGGCTTAAAAGAGTATTTAAAAAATCACTGTGAAATAAAACACTTCTCAACTCAATTCTATGAGGCCAGTATCACTGAATCCCACAACCAAAGACAAAACAAGAAAACAGACTAATATTTCTTGTGAATATAGACATAAAATATTCCACAAAATACTAGCAGACCAAGTTCAATAACTTATAAAAAGGATTATACATCATGCTGAAGTAGGATTTATCCAGGAATGCAAGGTTGACTTAGCATCCAAAAATCAATGTAATACACCATATAAATATAATAAAGGGCAAAAACCACATGATCATCTTAACAGATGGAGAAAAAGAATTTGAAAAAATTCAGCACCTGTTATGATCAAAACATTCAACAACTCAGGACTAGAACTAGAACTTCCTCAATCTAAGATCAGAAACAAGACAAGCTTTCACCACTTCAATTCAACATTGGACTGGAGGTTCTAGCCAGGGCAGTTAGGCAAGAAAGTGAAATAAAAGGCATTGAGATTGGAAAGGAATTGGTAAAATTATCTCTATGTACAGATGACATGGTCTTATATGTAGAAAATCCCAAGGATGGAATCCACTAGAAAAACTACTATAATCAATGAATGAGTTCGGCAGGGTTATGGGATACATGATCAATAAGCAAAGAGCAATTGTATTTCTATATACTTGCAATAAACAGTTTGCAAATAAAAGCAAAAAAAAAATTCCATTTATAATACATCAGAAATAAATTTAACAAAAGAAATGCAAAACTTATATTCCAGGAACTATAAAACATTGTTGAAAGAAATTAAGAATACATAAATAAGTGGAAAGACATCCCAGGTTCATGGATTAGAAGACTTAATGGTAATACTGTACAAATTGATCTATACAGATCCAAGGCAATCACTATCCAATTCCCAGCCAGCTTCTTTGTGGAAATTGACAAGCTGATCCTAAAGTTCATATGGAAATTCAAGGGACTAAGAATAGACAAAACAAACTTGAAAAGAATGAAGTTGGAGGACTCACAATTTCTGATTTCAAAATTGACTACAAAATTAACAATAATTAAGATGGTGTGGTACTGGTATAAAGACATATAGACCAATGGAATGGAATTGAGAGTCCAGTAATAAACCCTCATTTACAGTCAGTTGATTTTTAACAAGGGTGCCAAGATGATTCGTTGGAGAAAGGACAGTTTTTTTCAACACATGATGCTAGGACAACAAAATACCCACCTGCAAAAGGATAGTGTTGGGCCCCAAATTCATACCATATTAAAAAATTAACTCAAAATGGATAAAAAACTAAAAATAAGAGCTATAATGATAATACTCTTAGAAGATAACAAAGGTATAAATCTTTGTTACCTTAAATAGCCATTGCTTTCTTAGATATGACATAAAAAAAGCATAAACAACAAAGAAAAAGGATAAATTTGGACCTAATCAAAATGAAAACTTTTGTGCTTCAAAAGGCATGATCAAGAAAGAGAAAAGAGAGCTCATTGATGAGAGAAAATATTTGCAAATCATGTATCATGATTAGGTGCTCATATCTGGAAAATACAAAGAACCCTTATAACTCAAGAATAAAAAAGACAGCCCAATTTAAAAAATGGGCAAAGGAGTTGAACACACTTTTCTCCAAAAATAAAGAAATGGCTAATAGCATATAAAATGATGCTCAACATTGTTAGCCTCCAGGGAAGTGTAAATAAAAACCACAATGAGATACCATCTCATACCCCCTGGATGGGCCATGATAAAAAAGATAGATAATGACAAATGTTAGTGAGGATGGGGAGAAATTGGAGCCCTCATACACTGCTGGTGAGTATGTAAAACAGAGCATTTGCTTTGGAAAATAGTCTGAAAGTTCCTCAGTTGGTTAAACACAGTGTTACCATATGACCCAGCAGTTACACTGAAAAAAAAGGAAACTAGTATACAAAAACTTGTACACTAATGTTCACAGCTGCATTATTCATTATAGCCCCCAAATGGAAACAATCATGAATGGAAAAATGCAATGTGGTATATCCACACAATGGAATATGATTCAGCCATACAAAGGAATGAAGTACTGATACATGCTACAACAATGGATGAGCCTTGAAAACACTATGCTAAATGGAAGAAGCCAGGCACAAGAGATCACATACTGTATGGTTCTATTTCTGTGAAATATCCAGAATACGTGACTCTACAGAGACAGAAAGTAGATTGGTGGTTGCTGAGGGCTGGGAGTTGGGGAGAAATGTGGAATGACCACTAATGAGTATGGGGTTTCGGGGTTTCTTTTGATGTGTGGCAGTGTTTTCAGATTGACTGTGGTGATGGTTGTACATCTCTGAATATCCTAAAAACCACTGAATTGTACACTATAAATGGGTGAATTTTATAATGTGAATTATATCTCAATAAAGCTGTTATACAAATCACTGTGAATGATTTTGATGTACAAAAATATATAAAGATTATTCCTGTGAACAGCATTGTCTACATCCAACTTAGAAATGGAGCATTATTAATATGACAAAGCCCCTGTGTACCCATCCCTCCCTGATGGTTCTCTGCCCACTGGTGTCCTACCAGGTAGCCTCTGTTCTCAGTTGGTTACATGTGGTTATCATTCCCATGAATCTAAAATATCCTTCTTTATTAATCAGACCTGCTCCTTGAGGAAATAGACTGTGTCAGCTGGGGCTCAGGGAGAGCATGGATTAAATGCTCATTTACATGCTGGGGGCAGAGGTGAGAGGGGGAGAGAGGGTAGGTGGATGGCAGGGTAGGTGGATAGCAGGGAAGGTGAGTGAACAGGTGGAAGAGGGGAGGGAAGACTGGATGGATGAGCTGATCAGTGATGAGTGGCTGGCTGGGGAGGCCGGGGGGATGGTAAAATGTTTGCATTATCTTTCCTGCTCACTGCATGTCATCCTTTGCTTTCAGCTTCGGGCAGCAGAGGTGGAGATCAAAGATCTGCAGTCAGAGTTTGAGCTAGAGAAGATCGATTACTTGGCCACCATCCGCAGGCAGGAGCGTGATTTTATGCTGTTCAAGCAGCTCCTGGAGCAGGTGCAGCCCCTGATTCGCAGGGACTGTAACTATAGCAACCTGGAGAAGATAAAGCGCGAGTCCTGCTGGGATGAGGACAATGGCTTCTGGAAAATCCCCAAGCCAGTCATCATAAAAACCAGCCTCCCAGTAGGTCAGGAGCTTTGCTGTCCCCTTGGCCCTCCCCGCCCTCCTCCACAGCTTGCCGTCCTGCAGACTGGCAGGGAGCCTCGGGCCTCTCTCCCTGCGGGCGGGCCGTGGGTGCCACTGCAGACTGGCAGGGAGCCTCGGGCCTCTCTCCCTGCGGGCGGGCCGTGGGTGCCACAGACACGTGAGCCTGGGTATCCAAAATGCTGGGGCTTAAAGGGATGGTGTGTTCCAGACAGATGTGGCTTGGAATTCTGGCTTCCCCACTCCCTTTGTGACGTCTTTGGGATCAGTGTCCTCATCTGTGAAATGACCTTCTTTAAAGATGGCGGGGTGGCTTAAAATGTGTTAAAACCCTTAGCGCCATGCCTGGCACATTTTAAGTGTGTGGTACCTCTTATCATTATCATGATCATCACTGTCATTATTTCATCCCACAACGACCCTGTGAAGGACAAAGATTATTGCACCTATTTTGCTTATGAGGAAGCTGACTCTCAGAGTGTAAGTGAGCTTATGCAAAGTTACAGTCATAGCGGTAAGTTATAGGACCAGGGATAGAAATGAGCTGTCCCGTTACAGGCCTGGGGCTCCTTTTGTCACGGACCACCTGTGAAGGTCACTGCCTCTGGGCTTTGATCCCCTGATCGTCACAAAGAAGGGGTTGGATAAGATGATCCTGAGGCCTCCCCCCCACCTCCATTGCTTCTTAGAGTCAGATCAGACTTGCAGTGGATCTTGCTGCAGTCATGCAGCTGGCCCTGCCTACTCAGAGGGCAGAGGCTATTACATCCTCCACTGCCCCCACCAGGCCTGCTCCTGGCCGAACACAGTGGTGGCTGTGTTTGTCCAGGTCCTGCATTTCTGATGTTTATGGGTGGTCGCTGACACCATCCCTGCTGAAATGCTAACCAGCTCTATTTCCCAAATACTGTGGGCAAGCAGCAGTCTCTCTCTCTGTGCCAATTCCATGCTGCTATCTTGCCTGGGCACAGGCAAATGGCTTATTTGGCATCCAAGCCCTCCTGTCATCTTTCCCAAAGTCATCCCTTTGCCAGGCCTGACCCCCCAACTCTGGGGAAGGGCTGCAGCCCACCCTGTCCCTCTGGCCCTTCTTCCAGGCAGCAGTGACCAACTTTTGTTTTCTCATAGCAGTTTCAACAGGGCCACAGAACAAGCCAGCCCACAAAACCTCTGTAGCAGACAATGGTGAGCCAGGCACGGTAAGTTCTCTGGGAGAGGGAGCCGGAGGGGGGAGCTGGCAGGGCTTGTCCCAAAGGTGCAGGGGATCACTGTAACTATAGGGAACTGGAGTCTACCGTCACCCCACCTAAGGATGAAAGCAGGGCTTAAGCCTGGATCCTTCCCAACACCCAGATCCTCAACTTCCTCCAGCCCTCATTCAAAGGCATTTGCGGTCATAAAGATCAGAAGGAAAGCAGATGGTTCAAAGTTCATCCTGCTGGTGAAGGACAGAAACTTCAGCTTCAGTCCCAGAGGCCCAGCAGTACATGCTGGCTCCCTAGGCCCCAGCTGGCATCCTTGGATTGAAAGGATTCTCAAAGGATCCATGGAACAGTATCTGGGATTCTAAAAGTCACTTCATTTTCCTATATCCTATTACAACAGAAATATATATCCTTAAAGTCAAGGTCCCTTCCTGTAAAGGACCTGATAGTAAATGTTTTAAGCTTTGTGGGCCATATAGTCTCTGGCACAAGTACTCAACTCTGCCATCATTGCACAAAAACTGTCATAGACAATACGTAAATAAATGTGCATGGCTATGTTACAATAACACTTTGTTAACAAAAACAGTCTGTGGACCAGACTTGGCCCATGGGCTGTAATTTGCTGGTCCCTGCCTTGAACCATTATAGATATTTCAGAAAACCCACAAAGAATATACCTTTGCAGTCATGATAAGGCCACTCATAGATGAATGAATTCCAGCCAAGAATCTCTGCTGGAGCAACTCAAGGTGGCTGCAAGGAATGTCTCAGGCTGGTCTATGGCTCTGATTGGCTGTCTTAGAAAGCTTAACTTTGTGAAAAAGAGCAAGTTTCTGACAAAAACATTCTTAACTTGGGACCACAATGGGTTATATTAGTCAGAATTTGTTTCCATCCAAGTGGTAGTTACTCAATCATAAGTAAGATCGGAAATTTATTGGACCAGTTTTAGGCATGGATGGATCTAGGGGCTCAAATAGTCGGGGTTCTGTGTGCGGCTTCACGCCATGGATCTGCTTCCTTTGGAGTGCTAGCTTGGTGCTCAGGCAGCTGGTCTCCACGCGGTAGGAAAGATGGCTGCTGGCAATTGGTGATCAAACGGGAGGAGAGACCAGTCTCCTAACTCATCCTTAAACAGACACTTGTGGAAAGATTCTGATTGATTCTGACCAGCTCATGAGCCTATACTTGGACCAGTGACTAAGCCCAGAAGATGTAGTTCTGTGATTGATCCAGACTGGATTACATGTCCAGCTGTGTCACAAGGAGGTGGGTGAGAGTGGCGTTATTAGGGTGCTGTGAATGATTATCCTACCAGGGTCATACCAAGTGGGAGAAGGGTAGTCCCTGAGGAACAGATTCGGCTAAGAAAACTCTACCATAGTGGTGGAAAATAAGAGTCCTTGATGATAAAAATGTTGGGACTCCAGTTCTAATGATCTCGAACATGCCTTTGAGCTGAGTACTGTGTTCCCTGTTCTGTGAGTATGTTTTTGGGTTTGGGGTATGCAGGATCAGCTTTACCCTTGCTGGAGCTGGCAGGATGACCTGTTCTGAGCTTCTCAGGAGAGAACAAGGCACTTCCCATCCCAAGGAAGCAGTATGGGTGTAGATTTGACTGGAGACTGTGACTCCCCTGACCTGAGCTGCCTGGATCCCATCCCAGGAGACTGGGGTCTGTAGTAGGGTGCATCCATGCAGGCAGTGAGGCTCAGGGCAGCCCCCGCTGCCCAGGCTTGCAGAGGCAGACAAACCTTGGGGAAGGGCCCAGCTAAGACGCAAGGGTTCTTACACAAACAAGGGGTCTTGGCCCATGAGATTTGGAATCTCAGCAGGAAGAAGACCGCTACAAGCTGATGCTCAGTCAGAGCGACAGTGAAAATATTGCCAGTAACTACTTCCGGTCCAAGCGGGCCAGCCAGATCCTCAGCAGGGATCCCATGAGGAGCCTGAGTGAGTACCCTGCCTCCTCTCACCCTCTGGCCCCCTGGTAGCCCTCTGCTAACTAGGAGAGGCGTGATGGGGTCAGACTGGCCTGGGCTGAAAACCCCTGTTCCCTCTCCGAGCCTCAGTTTCCTCAGCTATAAACTGAGGTGGATATACCTACTTCTCAGGATTAGGTGAGACGAGGTGGGGAAATGGCCCAGCCCAGGGAGTCTCCCCTTTCCTGTACCCTTTCATCTCCTGCTGGAGAGGGGCAGTGTTTGCTTGTCTCCCCTGACATGCAGCAGGCCCTCCACAAACAGCTCAGGGCCCTGGCTTGGGGTTGCATGAGTCTCTGGCAGTTACTCACCAGCCTCCTCAGATGCCAGGATTGGGGTTTTCTGCCACTGAGCCAAGCGGGCAGACAGGGCCACAAAAGCAAAACACTCTGAAAAGCAAGAATCGAAAATCACTTCATTCTTCTGTTTTTAAAACTAAAATCAAAGACCACAGAGCTTCCAATAAACTACCAATGAAAAGCAAATCTCAATGCTATTTTGAGGTTATTTAAGAGGTAGAGTCAGTAGAGTTGAGGAATAGGACAGGAGAATAGAACAGCAAAGAAACTGACATAACCTGACTATCTGGCATTGTGCTGATGTCGCACACAAGGAAACTGAGGCTGAGAAGGGGCTCCCCAACTTGGGAGGAGCTGGGCTTTGAACCCAGGCTTGTCTGGCTCGAGATCTCAGGCTGCCTTAGTCCAAGGCTTGAAAACTTCACACCCGGAGCCCAGACCTGTTGGATGCACATGTAGTTTTAAGCCCGAGACGGCAGCCAGAGCAACTGCTCAGAGCTCGGGGTCCCAGCTGTGGGAGCAGGCTCTGGCTGGGTGGTGGTGGGCCAGACTCCCCACCCCACACACGGAGTGTCTTCTCTCCACCCCTCTATTCCTCACTTACCAACCCCTCTGTCCCTCTCCTCCACAGCATATCACAACCTGCCGCCAGGCCTCAGCTGTCCACTTGGCAACAGCTCTGCCCTCCCACCCACCCAGGCCCCTGAAACGCCCCAGCCCCGGCCTTTCCGCCTTGAGTCCCTTGGCATCCCCTTCACCAAGACCAAGCGCAAGAAAAGCAAAAGCAGCTTTGGCAGGGAGCCTCTGTGAACACAGCTGCCTGCTCCTTCCCTGCCTTTGGGCTCCTGTGAGACTGCCGGGCCCTCCCCGGGGCAGCCCCAGGCGGGTCTCCTCCCACCTGCTCCCCACAGTAACCTGGGAGCCCAAGGAAGTCTTTGCCCTGGGAAGACACAGGCCCTTCCCTGACACCCACAGAGGCCACCTCTGTCCCTGTGGCATGAGCCCTTCCGAGGCTGGACTATCCTTAGAGAGGCCCAGCTGTCCACACCATGTCAGTTTCCATCTGCTCACCTGCCACAGAGCCCACCGTTTGTGCCCACCAGTGTTGTTCTGTGCCTCGATGGGCTCAGAAGCCTCCGCTCTGCCTCACGGCCTTCGCTTGCAGCCCCCACAGAGTGGGCAGCAACTTCCTCATGGGTCAAGCTCAACATCTTGGTAACTGAAAATTGTGCCTCCGCCCAGTAGGCCCCACTTCCGGGGAGGAAACCCTGTGGCTTGGGTACAGGAGTCCTGGAGCAGCTGCTCCCGGGCTGCCCACTCCCAGCTGCTTGGTGGCCTGGAGGAGGCCACTCCACGCTATGCTGCCCCAATAAACTGCCTTTTACCAATGAGCTGCTCCTCGCTGCTCCTCTGACAGCGTCACTGGGGCCCCTCCCTGCTGCTGCTGCCCAGTCCTCCTGGGGAAGCTCACTCGGGAGCAGGGCTTCTTAACCCTGAGCCTTTAAAGCAAACAGGTTCCAGGGTTTCTGCAACACCTTGCAGTCCGGAGTACAAATGCACTATTCCAGGGAAAGCCTCTGAACTGTCGTTCGATTCTCAAAGCATCTGTGACCCAGGGAAACAGAGCCCTTGTTTCAGAAAAATAGAGGTAAAGTTTTGCTGAGGCCCAGAAAAGGCCCAGGTTTTGACAGCCTGCACGGGTGTGCTGACATGGCCAGAAATGAATCCAGGCCATCCCAGCTACTGAGGATACCCTCCCCTCACTCACTGTATCCCCCACCTGCCCTGTGGGAGGGGCCCACAATCTGAGGGAAAAGGCTCAGCCTTTGATGCTGAGCCTCATTTTTCTCTGAGTTGCATCTGTGAAATGGGGTTAATACCCACCTCACAGGGTTACTGTGACAGTTAAATGAGATGAGAGTTCTGGGTGCACAGCAGATGCTCTGAGTTAGTCCCCCTCATTCCTCCTCTGTATTTTGTATTAATTCCTGTTGGGCCAAAGAGCTCATGCTCTGGAGAAGTTGGGGTGGAGACTTCTCAGGTAGGCTGCAGTACAGAGAGTGACAGGAAATGAGTCCAGGTTTTTAGGGGGAACAAAGTGCCCTTGTGAAGGGAGCAGCATTAGATGGGGCTGCCTTAAAGGATGAAGATACTGGGAATGTGGGGAGGGGGCTCCTTATAGAGGGAGCTACATGAGAAAAAGGCAGGAGGTGGGTAAGCTCAGGGTATATAAAGGTGGAGAACCTGCCCATGGAGCCCTGAGTGGGGACTGAGAGGAGGAGGTCGCCAAAATGAATTCAGGGGCAGTTCTGAGAGTGAAGAGCCTTTGGGTGTCCCTGAGTTGTGGCACACTCCCAAGCAAAGGTTGACAGCGTAAGTCCATGTTAAGAGGTGGATTGCTGTACACATTGTGTACAGAAGGTCAGAGTAGAGCTGCTGGGGATGGAGAGAAGGCAGAATCCATTAAGCAGATGCACCAAGGGAGGTTTTGACTTTTGCCCCCACATTCTTGGCTTGGTGGACAAGTAGGTCAGAAAGAATGGCTGTCTCCTCTCTCCACTATTACCTAAACCATTTGCCCCAGGATGGTGGTTAGGGCCCAGAGCACAGTTGAGGTCTTGGAGCTGCTCGTGGTAGCTTTCACTTAGACCCGTGGTGGGACTGAGGCAGGTCTGATGTGAGCCAGGTGGTCCCTGTATGGACTTAAAAGGAGTGGGAGCCGGCATTACTTAGTGGATGCTCAGCCTAGCTCTGCACTAAGTGCTTCAAATCGTGCCCCAATCTTCCCAAGAGCTCAGACTGTTCCAAAGGCACACAGGTGAGTAGGAGAGCTGGTCCTCACTATTATTTCTATTCTAGCCTAGGGAAGTGGCCTGGAGAGAAGTGAAACTCCAGGTAAACAGGGCTAATGAGGCAGAGCTTGGAAATGAATCCAGCTAGAGCTTTTTAATTGGTAGGCCAGTCGGCCGCCCATCCACGCAGCCTCCAGCGTGGGCCACCAGACTCGGCAGGGCAGGCCTGTGCCAAGGCCCCTGGGCCCGTGATAGGCCAGGAGAGTCAAAGGGCCCCTTGTCCCTCATCTTATTTTTCCAACCCTTTCCTCCCTGGAGATGATGGAGGTGCAGCCCGGTTCCTAGTCTCGATTCTGTCCTCGACCAGCGCGGACAGGGGTGGTTTGGGATGGCAGCCGCCACCGCCCCAGACCCTGTCCGGGATGCAATGGTCCAGACCAAAAAGGCCAGGAACTGTCTGTTGAAGAGGCGGGACATGGCTCCTGGCGGGAGCTCGGCCTGGGCGGAGCCAGAGCGCTCTCGGCCTTGTTGATTGGCAGTGGTTGCCGAGCTGGCTCTCTAAGATTAAGCCTTTTCCTTTGAAGAGGCGGAGCCGAGTTTCTCTTCCACCAATAGGGTTTAGAGACTCCGCCTCCACCAGGGACACTTCCGGTGGTGCGCCGCGCTCCTTGCAGTCCTAGGGGCAGCTCGGGTGGCGGGGCCGCGGCGTGCCCGGTCACTTCCGGGTAGTGCTCCACTACCACGAGCTGCGATTGGGTAATTGCACACCCGGTCCTTCCGGCGTCCAGGTGCTTGAGTACTTTGGCAGGAGGAAGATGGAGCCCTGTACAGTGTCCCGTGCTTGGTACCTCTTGTGGCTGCTGCTGTTCTTGCTTAGCTTAGTCTGTGCTAGCGGCCCCCGCACCTTAGTGCTGCTGGACAATCTCAACCTGCGGGAAACGCATTCGCTTTTTTTCCGAAGCCTTAAAGGTGAGACTGAGGTCCAAGGGGGCGGCGGCTGGGAGTCGGGCCGAAAGGTCCCGGAGGCAAGGGTTTCGGCCATCCTCCTGCTCGGTTTCCATGAGGGGACCGCCCAGGTCTGGCCCACCTCTGGGGTGGTGGGATCAGTTGTGCAGTCCTGCAGCGTGGTTTCCCTTTGTGTTCCGTCTGCTTCAGCTCCCTGTTTTCTTCTCCACCAGACCGGGGCTTTGAACTCACGTTCAAGACTGCAGATGACCCCAGCCTGTCCCTCATTAAGTACGGAGAGTTCCTCTATGACAATCTGATCATCTTCTCCCCCTCGGTAGAAGGTAAGAGCTGCACGCTCCTCCCAGAACACGGATTCGAGGCCGAGGGCTGATCGATTGCTTTCTTCTGGATCTTGGGCATTTTCTGGGTCATGGGGGTCACCAGCCCAGCGCGCTGTTGTTGTCAGAGAAGAGGCCAATGTTAACTTCTAGAATGGGTCCAGGAGGGGACTACGCTAAAAGACACAGTTGAGGATTGTGGGGTCAAGTGTTGCCACACGGCATGAGACGGTGGGGGCTCTGCTATTCTGAGGAGGGATTTTCTCTATAAAGAGCCTGATAGGAAAGATGGAGAGGCCGCGGTTGGATTGGCCTGTGTGACAGAGGAAATAGCATGTTGTTCATGTTGTTCACTGTAAAAAGGCATCGTGGTAGTTGATCTTAAGAATTAAGATGGGTTCATAGTTCTTAGGCTGAAAAAGAATCTTAGTAATGATCTAGCCCAACCCTCTATTTGAGGCTGGAAAGATAGGTCCCAAGCCTAGTAGAGGGCTAGTTATTGAACAGAATGAATATTTTCACTAGATTATCCAGTTGATACTGCAGTATTCCTGTGACAGAGAGCTTATATCTTACGAGGCAACACATTGCACTAGTGGACAACTCTGTTAAGTTCTTATATTAAGCTGCAGTTGTCTCCTCTGTCCTACTTTTGTTTGTGGGGGCAGAGGGGTGGTGTTGGGAGTGTTTCTTATACTCCCCAGGGCAGTTGAGAATAAATCTAATGCTTATTTAGCTTATAGGCAGAGCCTTCACATACTCATAGCCTATTCTCCAGTTGTCTACTCATAGTTGTTTCTTCTCCAGACGAAAGATCCCCAGTTCCTTTGGCTATTTCTCTTTGGCCATGCTCTTCTGGTGAGCATCCTGGCCATTCTCTTCTTCAGTGGCTTCAGTTTATCTTTTTCTCCAGGGACTCAAGTTGTCTTTGGTATAAGACAGGACTGCCATCTTACCTTCAGTTGACCAAGCTTAGAAAATCTGGTTTCACTGGCAGCTACTTTATTCTCTTAAATTCATTTGAGATTGTTCAGCCAAATCCCTCAAGTATTTTGCCCTAGGCTCCTGTCATTTGTCCCATTATCCCCAGCTTCCCTGTAATGTGTGTCTTTGGAATTGGCTTTTTGGAGGCAAGTATAGTTGGGTGGATGTGGCTCCAGGGTGTACAAGTTAAAATCTTCAGTTTACCAGGCAGGTGAACAGAGCCTTCAGCAGGTTAATTGTCATCTGCCAAATTCCTGCTGTGATTGCATCTCTGAAATCGGTACTGAACAGGGGCCTGGGTGAGATGGTAAGGACAGGGAACCTGCCTTTGAGGAGTTCTTTCAGTCTGTCTTCGAGGAAATAAAATTAAGGACTTGAAACAAGTCACCAAACCCTGTGTTAGGAAGCACAAGATGGATGTATGGGATGTATGACTTGTCCAAGTGATGCTCAGGAGGCGGTCTGGGAATGTCACAGAGAAGGAAAAGAAGCTCTGGGTGAGACTGGTTGGGAGAAGGTTGAGGTAGGCTGTTGGTGGGAGAAATGTCTGTGAGCCTGAACAGTGTTTCTCAAATCTTAGTCATTGCCGTACCACCTTAATTTTTACTGTATTTCGTATCACTTGTGTTAATATTTTCTTCAAATAGACCTGCCTTTTAAAAAACAAAAATAACATTTTAAAAGGAAACCAGTAATGAACCCAGGATCACCACCGCAGATGGAAAGCCAATATTATGACTTCCGTTCAGTAGAAGGTAACTGTAAATAGAATCAGTATAGTGCTATCTCAAGTTCTAGCCAGTCTGTTGCCCGCTGAGAGCATTGAGCTTGAGGCTTCCTCTTACAAGAGATTCGCAAGTGTTAGGGTAAGTGCTAAAACCAGTATCAAACTAAGACATTCTCTTTGATGGAGAAAGGTTGGCAAATAATTGGAAAGGAAATAACAGAGATTCAAGGGCACTTAAAGCCTTTCTCCCACATCCCTGTTGTCACCTTTTCTGCCCCTGGCAGAGTAGGTCCCACACTTTGGGAAACACTGCTGCAGGAAATCCTGGGGAGAAGGCTTGTTTGTTGGGTGCAGGGGTTCAGGGTGGGAGTTGGCCCCTGC